TCACAGGGTAAAATAGGAGATTATATCAAAAGGGGATCTGCCTTTTCACTTTCCCTGGTACAATTATCCTTGATTATTTTCAGTTTCCTTTATTTATTCTACAAGCTAATGTTGCTATAACTTTCCTCCCACTTTTTCCACTGTCTCCTGTGTTTTGGAACAGAATTTCAAGCACCACCCAAATCACTTTTCACTTTCAAATTGTTACCCAAAACCAAACCAACCAACCCATGTATTTTTCGTGTATAACAAGGCTATTATTTTCATAGTCTTATGAATTTTTTCTACCAAGCATGGGCAAACTTTCTAACTTGGGGGCTGCGTGGCAGGCCAGAGTGGGGTGGGCTGGGATGGAGATAGGGGATGCTCCCCAAGTCCCCTCCTTGCCCTTTCTTCTCCTTCCTCTTCTCTTTTGGAGGCAGAAAGTGAAGGAAAGACGGGAAACGTTTGCATCCCAGAAGGGCTAGCCCTAGTCAGGATGAAATGATGGATGGGAGAAAAAGTGTATCCATTAGACCCCATATTGCCTACTCCGGATATATAATCCTAGAGCTGGAAGAGACCCCCAAGGGCCATCCAGTCCAACCTCCTGCCATGCAAGAAGACACAATCAAAGCACTTCTGATAGCCTCTGTGGAAAGCCTCCAGAGAAGGAGACTCCCACCACACTCCAAGGCAGCCTATGCCACTCTCCAAGCTCTTATTCTCAGGAGGCTCTTCCAAATCTTTTCAGTCTAATCTCTTTCCCTGCCATTTGAACCCATTGCTCCCTCGTGCCCTGGTCTCTAGAGCAGCAGAAAGTCAGTTTTGGCCTTCCTCCTCAACAGGACACCCTTCCAAATCTTGAAACAATGTTCTCATGTTCCCTCTCTACCTTCTCTTCTCCCAGCTAAACATCCCCAAGGAGGAAAGGAGGAAGGAAAAAGAGAAGGAAGGGAGGAAGAGAAGAATGGAAGGGTGGAATGGGAAGGAGAAAAGAGAGAAGGAAGAAAAAGAGGGAGGGAGGGAGGGAAGGAAGGGTAGTATGGTGAGAGAGGAGGGCCTGAGAAAAGAGCCCAAGACGCTGCATCTGGCCCCCAGGACCGGGTTTACCCATACCTGGTTTACTCTAGCCCAGCTATTCCCAATCAATCCTGTCACTTTTTTTTTCATAATTTTATTTCACTTCTACTTGGGAGTTCTACTTGGCTTCTCTTATTGAGTCACTTCCTGATGTTCACTCAAATTATATTCTGCTTTTAAAAACAAATCATTGATTTCTGAGATATTTGTGTTGAATGCTATATAATCTCTCCAGCTGATTTAAATACTTTAATTCTCAGTTATAAAAGACTGAACTATATTGTGAACTCTTCCACTGAAATATCATTTAATTTTGATTACAGTGTGCCCCATTTGTTTTTAACTCTTAAATGGAAATAAACACACAACACAGAAGATAAATAGATATTTATTTAAACTCCTCTGTCCAACAATAAAAAATAGATGGCATTAAGGCATCTTATGTTCTGTTACTATTTGTCCGGTAAAGAGAACTTTCAGATACAAGACAGCACATCCATATAAGATTCAACTGTGCATTTGGTGGACTGGTTCCCTCCATCCCTTTATCCATTAACAATACAAGAAAACGTAGGACAATTCCTATATTTCCAAGGGAAGAAAATAATGGAAACTGATTGAAAAGCAGCACCAAGATCTAGTTCCCTTTTGAGGGGGTCAAGCTACAAAATAATAATAATAACCTAAACATTTTCAGTACAGAAGATGCATTTGATGTGATAGTAACATCTTCATCACAGATTTTTTCAAATAGATTTTTTTTCCTAGTGAGCATTGTGGCCTGTAGTTCATGAAATATATGGCATTTGTTAGCTATTAAATAAGTGTTAATGCTCTCTATTTTTTAAAAGTCCTATTATGTATGATGTTTACTTTTGGAAACACATGAATGAGAACAATAAATTGCAAGATTCCCCAATCATGTCCAGGCAGTATGCTATTTTCTTACTCTGAGCGTAGACTAAATCGTGTATACAAATCCATACCTGCAAGAGACTATACCTGGATTGATCTGTGACAGTCATTTATGAGGTTTTTTTGAGTTCCTTCCCCATAATTTAACAATTGACAACAGCTTAGTGGCTGCTGCCACTGCCAGACTTGCAAAAATAGGTTTTATCCAAACCAATTTACTGTCCTCCTGTCTCCTCTAGTTAGTGTTAGTTTGATAATAAGCCAAGAAATAAAACAGAAGATGTATGGAGAATGGCTGCAGACAAAGTAAGGAATAGCAATAAATGGAGCATGAGAAAGATGAAGGGGGTTTGTCATAATGACACACATTCTGCAATAAAGAAATAAGTAAATATGGCATTGTTTCACGAACCATTTATTCCAATTGATCAGAACACTGCTCTGTCTGTTTCCCTTTGTTTATAACACAATGGAAGACCTTCTCTTAGCAACACCAGAGGCACTCCAAGTGGTGTTACTGGTCAAAGGACATTTCGTATAATGCCAGGTTTTTAACTTCGTTTGTGTTTTTAAATACATTGCAACTGTGCTCTTAATTTGCTTCTAACATGATAATTAAATTTGTTTATAAGTATTCTAGCCTTTATCTGGAATTGAAGTTTGGATTTAATTTTACACAAAGGAACAGAGCTCCAGGGCCTATGTGTGACCGTGGGTTGTGTCATACTATTTATTTATTTATTTTGTTTGCAATATTTGTATACTGCCCTTTTCAACCCCAAAGGGAACTCAGGGCGGTTCACAGTGCTACTAGACTACATCATGAGACTTTCATTGGCTTACTTACCTCTGTGGCTATGTGTTTATAGTGTCTTGACCTCATCACACTAGTGTTTTTATTAAAGAGTAGGTGAAGTGTGAGCATATGCTTTCAATCCTATGTCTGCCTCCTGCAGAATTCTGGGGTTTGTAGTTTAATTAGGGTGAGGAGCTCTCTGGTTGAGAATTTCAAAGACCTCTCCTCAAATTAAACGCCCCAAATTTCTGCAGGAGGCAGACACATGACTGAAAGCAGCTCACATGCTTTATATACTCTTTTAAAAACACAAGTGGAACAAGGTTGTCAGAGTCTACTATGGGAAGTTCAGAATGCAGTTCTATTCTCTCCCCTTTTAATCCAAACTAATATGTGCTTGTAGCAAGTCCCAAATCTGGTAGTGGTTCTCAACCTGTGGGTCCCCAGGTGTTTCGGCCTACAACTCCCAGAAATCCCAATTTACCAGCTGTTAGGATTTCTGGGAGTTGAAGCCTAAAACATCTGGGGATGCACAGGTTGAGAACCACTGCTTTATAGGGTGACACTCAAGTCCCCATTTTTGGACTCTTATTGCAATCTTCCAACTCAGTGATCTATTAAGTACTGTCCACTATGAGGTCATTGTGATGTCTTGTTGTAATGTGGAGGAGGGATAGTGTCGCTAGCACTGTCCTTCCTCCACTCCCAATGTTATTCCATATATAGAGAACAAATCTTGTTTCAAAATGATGGACCCTGTTTCAAAGCAGCAGAATATGAAATTGGATCCATTATTTTGAAACACCTTATATACAGATTATATGGGATAGTCTGACAACTGTGTGATCACTGATCACACATCAGACACTATTCTTATTGTCTATTTAAGAGCTGTCCAAGGGTTCTGTCAATAGGATAGTATTCCTTTCTTCCTGTTTAGTTTACTTGATAGAAAGTTCAACGTTATATCCCTGCTGCTATATAAACTGCAAGATAACTCAACCATTGGCCAAAGAGAAGCCTAGAGCGTAATGTGGCATCTGCCTGTGTAATACAGTGTGTTCAGTTGAACAAGAAAGCATTCATTCTTTGACACAAGATGATTTCCCCTGAAAACAATGCAATAGTTTGGGAATTCGATGGGGAGGGGCGGCGGCACTGCTGCACATTATTGTCAATAATGGGATAGTAGCAGAGTTGCCATAATCATGGATGTAAACATACCTCTGTGACCTTTAGTGTCTAGAGCTTTCTGTCGCTAGAGATGTCTATTAGAGTATGACTATATTACAAAAGGGAAGCTATGTGATCTCATTCTAGGACCCAAGAAAAAACGCATTTAAAAATATATAATGGCTCAAACTTTTTTTCCTTCGTGTCAGGAGCAACTTGAGAAACTGCAAGTCAGTTCTAGTGTGAGAGAATTAGTAATCTGCAAGGACGTTGCCCAGGGGACGCCCAGATGTGTTACCATCCTGTTGGAGGCTTCTCTCATGTCCCCAAATGGGAAGCTGGAGCTGACAGACTGGAGCTCACCCTGCTCAAAATGATTTGAGCTTTTTGTAATAACAGCCCAAGAGAACACTCACACCTTGGTACTGTTTAACCAAATGGATAAATAAGTAATCAATAGTATCTGAAACTATACAGATATAATTGGGCAAGAATTAAATTAAGCAAAAACTAAATATAATACAAGCTGCCAGTCCTTTGAATTTGTGGCTCCCAAATTCCAGACAATGGACTTTAGTTCCCAGAACTAAAATTTCAAACTGTAGCTCAACAATATCTAAGGAGCCAAGTTTGGGAATTACTTCTTGAGAGCTTAAAGGTCAACCTGAGGACATAATAAAAAAAACAATAGCTATTAAAAGGCCTGGAGTTTTTAGGAGGAGTTCTAAATTAACTATGTTCTCGATCAGTGATGAGCAGCATGTCTCCTCCAGATGTTGTTACAATGCAACTCCCATCGGCTCTAACTAAGGCAAAAGGGGGGCTGTAGTTCAACAACATCTAAAGAGGCAAACATTCTTCATGGCCACTTCCGATATTTCATAATCAAATATATTCACAGTTTAGAACAGCTAGTGAATTGGTATAAATATTAAGTGTCAGTGAGAATGATACCAGCTGCTGCATACTTTTCTAAAAGGCAAATGTGTGTTGTGAAGTATTATAGACTAGGAAAATATCCTCGTAATTCAATACACCGTTACACATTTAAGCATAGGAGGAACTGTCATTTTATAAAAAGTGAAAAAAGAGCCAAAGGTAGTTGACTGCAATGTAGTAAAAGTTTACATTTTCCTATATCAGAGTCCTCTTATTCATCGTCCTTGGAGCCCGTTTTGCTTAGCTGTAAAGAGACAAAAATGTGTATTGTTTATTATTTTTCTGGGTACACTCCAGAGAGAACACAAACATATAAGAACCAATGAAATCAACTTGGAAAGCAAGTGATGTTCCATTGCACAATTAGCATTTTTGTGGATTAGGATCCTGCAGATGATTATGACTAAGATTTATTAATACTCTGAATCCTAATATAATTTGGGTGGATAGGATGGGTCAAATTCCCCTCCCAATTTCATCCAAATTGGATGAAAGCAGCTTTCCATTCTTCCATGAGAGCAGTAGGGAGCCACGGTGTCACAATGGGTTAAACCCTTGTGCCGGCTGAACTGCTGACCTGAAGGTTGGTGATTTGAATCAGCGAGATGGGGTGAGTTCCCATCTGTGAGCTCCAGCTTTCATGCAGGGACATGAGAGAATCCTCCCACAGGATGTTAACATATCCATGAGTCTCCTGGGCAACGTCTCTGCAGACGGCCAATTCTCTCACACCAAAAGCAACTTGCAGTTATCTCAAGTCACTTCTGACACGATAAAAAAATGAGAAGAATGGAAATATCTTTATCCCGGACCACTGTAAAACCATACATTTGTAAGTCTGGATCCAGCTCAATGTCTGAAATATAATCCATTGTTTAACCTTAGTAAGACTCTTAGAATCTGTTGTGATTACACGTATTGGTTTTTTAAAAAATATCTCTCAATCATCACTTTGTAGTATACCCAGTGACTGAAGTCTAAATACAATGAAAAATGCAAGCCTTCAATGAGATGATAGCTGTATGTTTTCATTTAAGATCTCCTAGATACTGCTTAAATCAACTGTATATAAACTTTTTTTTTAAAGTTTTGATTACAACTTCTCTGTTTATGGTCTAATGACTGCTATTCTAAGATTATTTACTGTTTCTGGATTCATTAAGAAAGCCTAGACTTGAACTGAATTTAAATCGATTTATTTTTCTATTTGCTTTTTTAAAATGCCCCCAAAACGGGTACAAAACAAATAGGCTTGCTCAGAACTAAAAAAATAATTCAAGACAAACACAACAATTCAAAAAGATTGGAACACTTACATGCTATTTAAACGCAAGAAGATAATCCAGATGTTATTTGTGTCCAAAATATATGGAAAGAGAGAGAAAGGGATTAGACACTATAAAATCTCCTGAAACTACACACTTGTAATGCATTTAAACCGTGATCTATGTTACCTTGATTACATCAACCCAATTCCATCCTCGAGGAAGTTCCCCTTTGGAATCTAGCCAAAACAATAACAGAACAAACATTATTTTAATTTTCAATTTTCTGATTTAAAAGATGTATTTAAGTTCTGTGCAGTGAAAGCTTTTCTTTAAGTTACATAAGACATAGACATAACAACATGAATTCCAATTTTCTTAATGACAGTGAAAACATACACACCTGTTTTATCTGCTAGCTTGCGTTTTTGTGTTTTGGTTAACTGTTCTTTTTTCTCTTTTTTCTTACTTGGTTGAACAACATCAGAATGTCCAGTTGGGATGCAGTTGTTCAATGCTGTCTAAAAAAAATGTAACTTGTCAGTAAGAATTTTCTAAAATGTAGAAAGCCTATTTACTTTGATTCCTTTCTTTTTTTGTTTTGTTTTCCACTTCTTTCATTTAGTCAAAGTCAAAGGTATCAACACCTTCAGATTTTCAACCATAGCATTTTTTTGTTATTATTGAAAGTCTGTTCAAAATTATATTAGAATTCAGATTATTAATAAATCTTATTCAATTTGCAATTTGGTACATACTAGGGAATGAAAGCTGCAGTAGTTTAATATGGCATAAAAGCTGTTACTTTCTCATCGAAACAATATATAATTCTATTCAAAGTACAATTATTTCAAGCAATAATCGGTCCCTTCCACACAGCTGAATAAAATCCCACATTTTCTGCTTTGAACTGGAATATATGGTAGTGTGGACTCAGATAACCCAGTTCAAAGCAGATATTGTGAGATTTTCTGCCTTGATATTCTGGGTTATATGGCTGTGTGAAAGGGCCCAGAGTAACATTATCCATGATACTGGGTTAGTAAGTTGGCTAAATAGTTACTTATTAAGTTTATTTATTAGATTTTTAAAAATCTAATAATGCGATGTTTTAAAGGATGGTAATATGATTGACATCAGCTTCTTAACAATCAGAAAAACCTTTATTTTGTAAGGCAGATTGACAACTGATCATAAGCTTACCACAGTATGGGCAGGTTGATTTTCCATAAATAATTCTTTATTATCTTTGGCGAATTCAAAAATGGTGTATGTCATAGAGGTCCCAAGGTTAACTTCAACTTCCTCCATTAATTTATTTAATATGCTTTGCTTTACAGCTGAGGATCTAGAAGAGATCACAGAACATTTTCATAGCAACAGATGGAAAGTGCAGCCATTTCTTTAAGAAGATGGATATTAAGACTCAAAAAATGATTTGCTTACATGGCATTGTTGAAGAATGCATCCATTGATATTACAGGGGCTGTTTGGGGGTACGTTTCTGGCCATGATATTTCTATCAGGAAGGCTTTAGTGTCTCCATTATCACCTATCTAAAAAAAACAAACCACAATAATAGATCATTATTTTGCAAGAAGCTAGGAAATCTTAGGTTTCCTTTTTAAACTAAAACAATGTTGAAAAATGCTTGTTTTATAACAGAGATTTACTTCTTACACCCACTGTGACTTTAAAATGATGTGGAAACAGAATGACATTTTCACAAGTGGGAAGACTTCAAATCCAGATGTGTAAATGAAAAACAGTACTTTATATAAATCTATAAAACTGCAACCAGAAAAGACTTGCATGCCATAGGGAATGTTGCTCATTCTAAAGAAATATGGATCATTTCATAAGAAGGTTTATTAAGAATAAGAATAGGCCTGGCCTGATGAATTTCATGTTTCCCACTAAAATGAATGCAGCTAATTTCATAAATTTGAGGCCCAAGACTAAAGATTGTATTATTTACTTTAAAAAAACATAACTGTAATAGAAAACCGGCTCTCCTTTCTGAACCACATATTTATTCATTTATTTAACTGTATTTATATACTGCCTTTCTCACCCCTTGGGGTTCTCAGGGCCGTTTACAACATATTAATGGCAAAAATTCAATGCCAACATACAGCAAAACAAAGAAATCATAATAACTACTTACTACATATAACTTTGACTTAAAATCATTAAAGCCATTAAACATAAGACATAAACAAAATTTAAACATTCAGAAAAAACATCCTAGAATAAATATTAAAATCACATAATCCAAAAAAAGTACACCATAACCATTCCGATTGTCATTGCACATGTTCCTTAATTATTCTTTGCACTGTGTTATTTTAATAGCCAATGGCTTGATCCCACAACCACGTCTTTGTTCTCTTTCTAAAGGTCAGGAGGGAAGGTGCTCCAGAGCTGAGAAGCCACCAATGAGAAGGCCCTGTCTCTCACCCCCACCAATCAAACATGTGATGGATGCAGGACTGAGAGCAGAGCCTCCTCAGAATATTTTAACTTCTGTTATTCTTTCTATTCTTTACTTTTTAAAAACATAACTGTAATAGAAAACTGTGATCAGCTCCCCTGCTGTTAGTCCCTGCTTCTGCCAACCTAGCAGTTCAAAAACATGCAAATATTTGTAGATCACTAGGGTACCGCTCCAGCAGGAAGGTAACGGCGCTCCATGCAGTCCTGCAGGCCACATGACCTTGGAGGTGTCTTTTGGACAATGCCGGCTCTTCGGCTTAGAAACAGAGATGAGCACCAGCCCCCAGAGTCGGACACGATTGGACTTAATGTCAGGGGAAAACCTTAACATTTCAAATAAGAAAAACTACTTCTAAAATAAATTGTTTCCAACTCACCCTATATTGAAATGATACTGGGCTAAGTTCCTTGAAACACTCATCTCCTTCATAAATCGACCGCAAAGCTTCTAACTCCATCTGGAAGAAGAATAGAGCGCCATAGGGGTGAGGCACATTGTTACACACAGAAAAAAGGGAGTAAGAAACAAAACTTTCCAGAGATTGCAGAAATACAACTCTCTTCAGGTATAGGATGCGTCTACACCAGGTTTGGGCCAACTTAGGCCCTCCAGATGTTTTGGGCTTCAACTCCCACAATTCCTAACAGCTTCAAGCCTTTTCCTTTCCCCCTTCAGCCGCTTAAGTCCAAAAAGGAAAGGGCCTGAGGCTGTTAGGAATTGTGGAAGTTGAAGTCCAAATAGGAAAGGGCCTGAGACTGTTAGGAACTGTGGGAGTTGAAGTCCAAAAAGGAAAGGGCCTGAGACTGTTTGGAATTGTGGGAGTTGAAGTCCAAAAAGGAAAGGGCCTGAGACTGTTAGGAATTGTGGGAGTTGAAGTCCAAAAAGGAAAGGGCCTGAGACTGTTCGGAATTGTGGGAGTTGAAGTCCAAAAAGGAAAGGGCCTGAGACTGTTAGGAATTGTGGGAGTTGAAGTCCAAAAAGGAAAGGGCCTGAGGCTGTTAGGAATTGTGGGAGTTGAAGTCCAAAAAGGAAAGGGCCTGAGGCTGTTAGGAATTGTGGGAGTTGAAGTCCAAAAAGGAAAGGGCCTGAGGCTGTTAGGAATTGTGGGAGTTGAAGTCCAAAAAGGAAAGGGCCTGAGACTGTTCGGAATTGTGGGAGTTGAAGTCCAAAAAGGAAAGGGCCTGAGACTGTTCGGAATTGTGGGAGTTGAAGTCCAAAAAGGAAAGGGCCTGAGACTGTTCGGAATTGTGGGAGTTGAAGTCCAAAAAGGAAAGGGCCTGAGGCTGTTAGGAATTGTGGGAGTTGAAGTCCAAAAAGGAAAGGGCCTGAGGCTGTTAGGAATTGTGGGAGTTGAAGTCCAAAAAGGAAAGGGCCTGAGACTGTTAGGAATTGTGGGAGTTGAAGTCCAAAAAGGAAAGGGCCTGAGACTGTTAGGAATTGTGGGAGTTGAAGTCCAAAAAGGAAAGGGCCTGAGGCTGTTAGGAACTGTGGGAGTTGAAGTCCAAAAAGGAAAGGGCCTGAGGCTGTTAGGAATTGTGGGAGTTGAAGTCCAAAAAGGAAAGGGCCTGAGGCTGTTAGGAATTGTGGGAGTTGAAGTCCAAAAAGAAAGGGCCTGAGGCTGTTAGAGTTGAAGTCCAAAAAGGAAAGGGCCTGAGGCTGTTAGGAATTGTGGGAGTTGAAGTCCAAAAAGGAAAGGGCCTGAGACTGTTAGGAATTGTGGGAGTTGAAGTCCAAAAAGGAAAGGGCCTGAGACTGTTAGGAATTGTGGGAGTTGAAGTCCAAAAAGGAAAGGGCCTGAGGCTGTTAGGAATTGTGGGAGTTGAAGTCCAAAAAGGAAAGGGCCTGAGACTATTAGGAATTGTGGGAGTTGAAGTCCAAAACACCTGGAGGGCCCAAGTTGCCCCAAGTCTGATCTACACTGTGGAATAAATACAGTTTGACACCACTTTGGCTGTCCTTGGGGTGTTCCAGAGTGCCAATCCGACGGGGATTGTGGAAGTTGTTATCCCAGAAGCAGCCTATTTCATAGCGTCTCAACCCAAACTGAGTCAGTCTCCCCTCTAGGCCTAACTACTCCAATTGACCAGGGTGGCTCGAAGTGGGCGGGGCGTGGGGAGGCTCCTCCCCTTCCGGAAGTGCCTTAACACTTTCACTGCCGGAGCCCCCTCAAAATAAGCCTCTGCCTCACCTCTTGGTCCTCGTTCGCCGTCATGGCGGGAAGCCAGACAAGGCCGCGGCCCTCTTCCCCCTTTTATCCTCCTCCTCCTCCCTTCAGCCGTCCTTCAGAGCAGGGAGAACTCCAGCATCTGCCTCGACCCCTTCCCACACTGCGAGCATCTGAGCCAGAGAGCAAGGCTGCCTTCTGCGCAGGCGCCAAACCAGTGAGGTGACAGCTGCGGCAACACAAGCCGCTCATTGGACAGCGTCACCACGGTCCCGGCTCCCTATTGGCCCGAAACCTTTAGCCCCGCCCACGGGAGAAAAAGGGGGTCCCTCCTTCTTTTCATTGGTCCTTTCATTGACCCTTTGCTCCGCCCCGAGCGTCCTCCAATCCTCTGTTTCGAGGGCGGAGATGTCTCTAACGCTGATTGGTCTGTGAGGGCTGTCACTCTCAGCAGGGCTCCTCTCTGGCTTCCTGAGTCAGGCCTCGGGTTCCTGATTGAATGCTTCGCCTGCTTCACTTTCTGTAGCTTGGCCGGGCCTTGGCATGGGCGGCGCCGCTGGGAATTGAGCCGGGCCTCCTTTACTGTTGACGCGGGACCTCGGAAGGAAGGTGGGAGCCCTAGAGAAAGCCTCAGGCCCCTTCCACACAGCTGTATACAATCCACATTGAACTGGGTTATACGGCAGCATGGACTCAGATAGCCCAGTTCAAAGCAGATATTGTGGATTCTCTGCCTTCATATTCTGGTTCTTATGGCTGTATGGAAGGGCCTTCAGTCCACACTGTCATATAATCCAGTTCAAAACAGATATTGCGGATTCCCTGCCTTGATATTCTGAGTTATATGGCTGTATGGAAGGGCCTTCAGTCCACACTGCCATATAATCCAGTTCAAAATAGATATTGTGGATTCCCTGCCTTCATATTCTGGGTTATATGGCTGTATGAAAGGGCCTTCAGTCCACACTGCCATATAATCTAGTTCAAAACAGATATTGTGAATTCCTTGCCTTGATATTCTGGGTTATATGGCTGTAGAGAAGGGCCCTCAGTCCACACTGTCATATAATCCAGTTCAAAACAGATATTGTGGATTATCCACCTTGATATTCTGAGTTATCTGGCTGTATGGAAGGGTTCTCAGTCCACACTGCCATATAATCCAGTTCAAAACAATAATAATATGATATTATAATTATATATTTTATATTACATGTAATATTACTAATAATATTACAATATAATGGTGTAGTACGGTATAGTAATATATAATACTGACATTGTACTATACTAATAATATATATTTTGCGTGCACGCGCGCGCGCGCGTGTGTGTGTATATATATATATATATCGTGTAAGCCACTATGAGTCCCCTTCGGGGTGTGAAGGGCGGCATATAAATGTTGCAAATAAATAAATAAATATAGTGTATTATCTGCCTTGATATTCTGGGTTATATGGCTGTGTGGAAGGGCCCTTAGAGAGGAGAAGGAAGGAATATGAAGTGACATCTACACTGCAGAATTAACACGGTTTTGACACTGGTTTAACTGCCAGGGCTCAGTGCTGTGGAATCCTGGGAACTGCAATTTTGGTGAGGCCCTAACACTCTGTGGACTAGATCGAGCACTAACATAGGAAACACTGCATGAACACCAAGCACAAAGTAGCTGCACACAATAACATCCTGTGGAAACTTACTGGCAGCACATGGGGCGCAGACCCAAAATTAATAAGAATATTAGCCCTAGCCTTGTCTTACTCAACTGCTGCATATGTCTGCAATGTTTGTTACAAGTCTGCCCATGCAAAGCAGGTGAACATAGCATTAAATGAAACATGCAGAATAATCACAGGATGTTTTAAACCTACACTTGTTTGTTTATTTATTTATTTATTTACGACATTTATATGCTGCTCTCCTCACCTTCTCTCTTCTCTGTTGATAAACTCTACAAGCTAGCTGGCATTGCCCCCCCCCCCGCCCCCGATGTGCAATAGGAAGTTGCTGCTAACTGTGAGAAAAATAAGGTTGACCACTGTGAAAGCCACCCATTGCATTGCTATCAGCCTCATCCCAGTAGACTCAAATCAAGGGAAAGCTTCATGAGAACCACCACTCGTCTTAACAGCCCCCAGCAACAGCAAGAGTATCCCTCTGGGCATCTAAACCAGGAAATCCCAGTTGGATGACCCTCCACGAGAGTCTTCCTCCAGGGATAAAACAAGAATGGGCAACTTGATAGTCCCTGAACAGAGTCAGAAGCGGAGTGGGCAGATCAAAAGATAACTTGACAAAATGGCACTACCTAAAAGAATCCCCCACCCTGTGTGACTGTGGAGCAGAACAGACAACTCTGCATCTATATGCTTGTCCACTATGCCCTGCCTCATGTACGGAGGAAGAATTGTTGGCAGTTACAGATAATGGCGTTGCTTTCGCCTGTTTTTGGTCAAAGGGTATTTAGCCTCTTGTGCTCCTATTTTTTATCAGTTTTATACTGCAATGCATTTGATACAAACTAAATAAATAACCCTGTGGATTTTGTAAAACTGCAACTCCCATGATTGCATGCCACCCAGCCACGACAGTTAGTGGTGTGAAACTGCATTTAATCTGTAGTGTAGAGCAGAGCTTTCCCAACATGAGTGTGTTGCGCAAACTTAATGAGAGACCTCTATGAGAAATAACCAATGAATCATTTGTTTAAAAATACAAACGAAAGGTTTTCATGAGATACGATGTGTCCCCATACATTTTGGTATTACAATTTAGATATGTGTCTGTATCTCTTATAAGGTGTTGTTTTAACCTTTGGTTTGCTAGTAAAACTGAATTACTGTGTTGTGAAATAATGCTTGTCTAAAAATGGTATTACCAACATGTAATGGTTGGAAAGCTCTAGTGTTAATGTTGTTCTGTGACAATACTGTTATTTCATAGGACGGCGCAGCCTTTTGGTTTACAACAGAGTTAGGGAGCTATTGGCGCTTCTTTTGGACTATATAACTCACTTCCTCTATCATTAGATAGATTAGATAGAGGGGTGAGGAGTTGTGGTCAAGATTATCTGAAGAATGTTTATATCTGTTGCTTATTTTGATATTGTGGTGTGTTCTGGACTTGTCTTTGATATTGTATATCTTTGTTTGGGGGGAGGCTGACGTATGGCCAGAAGACAGCTCTCCCCACATTGCAGTTTGGGCATGCTTGGCATTTGAAATTACTATATATTTTTTTTCAATTCTGCAACACTTTATTTACCATCTAAACATCTCTAAAAGTGGGTTGCATCTTAGAAACATGGGTTATTATACACACACACACATATTTCTATTGATGGCACTAAAATTAGTGTACGTCAATGTCGTTTTTAAAATGGAAGAAGTACTTGAAATGAGATCTGTCAATACCATGTATGTCCTAAAGACAAATTAATGTGTTCCAAAACAAATCAGGCTTAAACTCTCCCTTAAAAGGGAAGCCATTGAAATCCACAAGCATGCGGACAATTTCAACAGAAATGAAGAAACCACAAAAATGAACAAAATTTAGCTGAAAGAGACTCTTTGAATCCTTATTATATAGAATATCACAGGTTGATGTTTAACACTGCCAATACATATTTTTATGCCTCAAATGTTAGACCTGTTTCTGGGTATATTTAACCTGCTGATTCAAAAAATGGCACCGGTTTCACCCTATGAGCTCTAGTTTGTGAGATACAGATCATATGTGATATACTAGTCTTCTGCTGCTTGCCCATAGAAAATCATGATAACTACATCTAAGAAAGTAGAAGTGATGCAGTCTACTTTTACTATGATATTGTTATTTTTTGTTTGCTGTGTTTTTTTGATATTGTCACTTATGTATTGTTTTTATTCTTGTTTTGATTTGTACTTACTTCTGTAAGCCACACTGAGTCCTGTTGGGAAAGGAACGTGATATAAATAAAGATTATTATTATTATTATTATTATTATTATTATTATTATATGCAATGTTCTGAATCAATATCCTAAGTAACTCCAGGAACATGCTAAAAAAAGCAAGGCACTAAGAAAAATATGTGTTATTAGATATTAGATTGTTAGGGCCAAAGTACAAGTGTACCATTAAGAGCTGCATAAAAAGATAGTCCTTTCCCATCAAAGTGTTAAGATGGCAGATGGTTCTTAACAATAGTATTCTTCTAACTTTCCACCAAATCAAGGATACTTGTTTTGTCTGCATGTAGTTTGGACAGACAAAGAGTTTAGCCAAATCTCAGAAAAGTGTTCTTCCTTTTATTCATCACAGGCTATAAATGTGTCAATAATTTGTATTTTTGAAGCACCAAATTTATGTCTGAATATTATTGCTAGTATCTGTTTAATGTTTTGACTGTTTATATGCTTAATATTTTAGAATTCCTGACACACTGTCAAGATGAGCCCTTCACAGTGGGACTTTCCAGTGGAACTATGTTGCCGGCCTATGGCTTTTGTTACACTCACGGGCTTGGATGTAGTATATAATGCTGTTCATCGAGCGGTTTGGGATGCCTTTTGTGCAAACAGGAGAGCTGACAGAGTGCCAATTTCTTTTAAAGTACTGCCTGGTGATCATGAGTACCCTAAATGCAGAACAAAGGTATTGCTTGAAGTCTTAACTATGTTTACTGAGAATCACTTACAGTTTATACTGATCTTTGAATGTTGCAGTAATAAGTTTCCTACTTGAAGATTGCTTAAAGATTTAAACTGTCATTGTGAAGGAATCATTTCAAAAGTAAGTGCAGAATTATAATCTAAGTCTCAAAACTACTAAATGAGTTGGTTTATTAAATAAGTTATAAATAGAGTAGAAACCTTTTCTATGATTCAAAGCAAAAACTGTTGTCAGTATGCACCGTTGGTGAAGCAGTTCAGAGAACCAGTGCAACACCATTTTACCCATATTTGCTCAGAATTAAGTGCCCCAGAGCTTAGAAAGCTTAGGCTTTAGAACACGTCTTTTAAGACTTCAGCACAAATAATCAAATTAGCAAAGATACAGATTTTGTTTTCTTCAGAAACCATTATCAGGAGTGACATGAGTTAAAGAAAATAAAATGTTCAGGAAATTGCCTTTGTGTATGTATGAACAGAGAGAACAGCTTCTCTTCATATTTATTTATTGCAGAGAACATCATATGAATGGTACATTCCAAAGGGTATCCTGAAGACTGGTTGGATGAACAAGCATCTGAATTTGGTACCTGCCCTCGTTGTGGTTTTCTATGAGCTGGATTGGGATGAACCACAATGGAAAGAAAAACAGTCAGAATGTGCTACTAGAGTTGAAATTGTCAGGTATAATCTCTTTGATTTATTAGTTATTAGCTATTCCTTAGTAAAGGTGTATTGCAAAGAAATGTTGCCTTGTTAAACAGTTGTATTTCACTTTCCCCCTATCTTCCACATTCAGAATAGACACTATTGCTCTATGCATGTTAGAGCACCTTTACAAAAATCATTGCAATACCTGTAATTCTCCTGTTAGATTGCTTCAAGTACCGTATTTTGTTGCATCATAGTCACACTTTTTATCCCTTTTTTGTTGGAAAAGGAAGGGAGTGCGACTATTACATGATGAAATAAAATGTTGCCTTGTATTTGCCAGTTCTTGTATCTTTAAAAAAACCCAACTATTTGACCTCTGAAGCAAAGAGGTGGAAAGAGGGACAATTGTGTTTATTTAAACTTTGAGGGGTCAGGGAGAGAGGAAGGTAGTTTTGTTTTAAAACTATCTGTAACAATTATGCAAGAAAAGAAAAAATCATTTGGGAACCCAAAAAGCGGGGTGCATTGATTATGCAATGTCGACTATTATGTGGTGAAATACCATAAGTGGCAAGTGAGATTTGCCTGAGATTTGAAAAAAAATAAGGAGGAGCTCTTGCCTTTCCAAAAGAGGAACAAAGAATGCATCCTTTAAGTTGATTCGGTTTTATATTGAATAATTCCTTAATACATTAGATTGTTTTGTTGACAGTTGTTTGAGTATTCGCAATCCTGAATCCAGCATTGTTCTTACAGGCAGAGTTTGCAAGGACGAAACACAAAAGTTGCTGTTGTTTTGATACAGAAGAAAACACCATTGCCTCCAGGTAAAGTACAGTTAGACTTGTTCTGTTTTTGTTCTAGAAAACAAAGACAAAACTTTTAGGAACTTAATTAAGACTCCAAAAGAAAATGGTGTAAATACGGTAGGAGACCTCTTAGAACCCACCAGAGAAATTAAAAAACGGGATACGATAAAGGACAAATGTGGAATAAAGAACTGGATAGCATGGTTAAGCCTGTCCCAAAGAATAAAGGAAATGAAAAAGAAAGAAAGAAACAACAGCTGCCCCATTAGATAGAATCATTAATTGAAAAATAGAAAAAGGAATTATATAAGGAACTAACAGCCTTATCCTATAAGACAAAATACACCTTAGTAGAGGCTAGGAAATAAGATACAAACTTTGATGAGAATTTAGTTAGGCCCTAGGTTGACAAAATCCAAAAAATTAAACATCTAAAGATCAAGGAAACACAAAGGAAAACAGTCACAAAATGGTTCAGAACCCCCTTACAATTGGCACACATTATGGGAAACATTTCTCATAAATCCTGGCATAAGTGTGGGGAAATTGGAACATTTTCTTATATGTGGTGGGATTGCATTGAAATTATAACACAGTCAGGGAAGTAATAGAGGAAATAATAGGACAAAAATTATATTAGAATAAAGCCTGATTTCTGTCCCTCACTATAGAGATAAGAAGGGGAATAATGAATGGACAGAAATATTAAAATTTATGATATTAGCCATACATGCCACAATTGCCCAAGGTTAGATGGGATCTGGAAACATGGTAGACGGACCTCTCTGAGTATTTAATTAACAACTTTATTAGTCAAAAGGGAAAATAAATATTTGAATAGTAATTCCAAACAAGACTAAATAGGAAATCGACAAAACAGAAGGAAATGATAGGTACAGAATTTTGAACCAGGCCATCCAAACAATTAAATCAGTGTATTAAAATAATCTGACCCAGATGGGGGTGGGAAGAGGGGAGGTGGGGGGGATTTCTATATTAATTGGTCACGTTGGATAGGGGTTATAGTTCAGTAATATCTAGAGAACATCAGAAAATAGTTCTAACTGATATAATTCATGATAAAATAGGACCACTAGGGATAGAATAGCTGTAAAGTGTCCTCTAATAAGTTTGGGATGAATTGCTATTCTTTTGTAAGATTTAATTACATACTTCTTAAAATTCACTAAAGTGGTTGATTAATGTACAATATTCCCAACAAAGTAGATGATATGTATTGATTTGTAGATATAGCATAATAAAGTATACGAAGATTGCAAATTGAGTCTGGTCATACCTCTTATTGTGTTCATGTGGCCTTTTAGGAGAAGATGTTATTGCTTCTGAGCGGGCAGCAGCATTATGCAATGCTTGTGACCTGTCTGGAAAATCACTCTTTGTTTTGCCGCATACGGATCATCTTGTAGGTTATATTATACGGTAAGTAAATAATGTGAAAGGTGGCATTTTCTATTGATATTCTTGATGAAGGCTGAAACTCTCCTAATGTATGTTTGAGAGAAATCTTCACTGATGTTTGAGCGAAATTCCCTAAGTCAGATTTACATCTCACATAACAGAATCAGGCTCCCTTTGTATTCTGTTGAATTTTAAGAAGAATGGAATGATCTAGCTGTTTCTAAACATCTCTACAGTATAGAGCGGTTTCAGTCAGATGTGGAGAACCTTTTCCCAGTCTGTCTCTTGAGGTGGAAAATGGGACACTGAATGATGTTTCTTGTTTATATATTTCCCCCAAATTTACTTCACTGCATTTTTGTGCAAAATGTTAAATATAGTTGGGGTAAACTTTGAAAAAAATTCTGTGGAACACCATTAAAGGTGGGTTTGCTCTAGGTATTTATTGACTATTTTGCCATCAGTTAATCACAAATAGAGTAAGTGTACTTAATTGAGGGGTCTTGGTAAATCAGCATATATATATAAACTCAATTGATTTAGTGGATCTCCTCCAGGTGGGAAGAACAGCTGGATTTACTCCTTTAAAGCAGGCATGGGTGAACTTTAGCTCTCCAGGTTCTTAGGTGGCTGAGGGGGAAAAGGAAAGGGTTTGAAGCTGTTAGGAATTGTGGGAGTTGAAGTCCAAAACGCCTGAGGGGGGGCACAGTTTAGGCCAGGGGTCCTCAAACTAAGACCCGGGGGCCAGATACGGCCCTCCAAGGTCATTTATCTGGCCCTCGCTCAGGGTCAACCTAAGTCTGAAATGACTTGAAAGCACACAACAACGGCAACAATCCTATCTCATCAGCCAAAAGCAGGCCCACACTTCCCATTGAGATACTAATAAGTTTATATTTGTTAAAATTGTTCTTCATTTTAATTATTGTATTGTTTTAAAGTGATTTTTGCACTACAAATAAGATATGTGGTGTGCATAGGAATTAATTCATGTTTTTTTCAAATTATAATCTGGCCCTCCAACAGTTTGAGGAACTGTGACCTGGCCCTCTGTTTAAAAAGTTTGTAGACCCCTGATTTAGGCTATAACTAAACCTTTATATGTACTGGAAGTGATTTATTTTACTTAGTTTTTTGCATTTGATATTTTTTGCTCAGGCTAGAGAATGCTTTCTATGAACATGCACAGACCTATTACTACACAGAAATCCGAAGAGTAAAATCCCATAAAGAATATCTAAACAAAACAACACATCAGGTATAGTTGAAAATTGTTATTAAGTTTATTATTGGAGTATTTGGGTGTACAGAATTTGCTGCACAAGAAATGAAGCTTCATTTCTAACTGAACGTTTGCATTATTTTGTGGCTAGGTTAACATTAAAAACTTGTTCTCATCAAAATTATCGTACTGCTCCTCTGTTTTAACACAAAGGTTTATTCATACCTATTAATGGTTAAATAGGAATCCCACTGGAGCAAAGCAGCACACCAAAATACCTGGAAGTTACTGTGGACCGTGTTCTGACTTATAAGAAGCACTGCTTGAATATCAGGCAAAAAATGGGTACTAGAAATAATATCATACGAAAGCTGACTAGCACAGCCTGGGGATTGCAACCAGACACAGTGAAGACATCTGCTCCTCCGCTTTGCTACTCTGCTGCTGAATATACATGCCCAGTGTGGAATACATCTCACCACGTTAAAACAGTGGATGTGGCTTTTAATGAGACATGCCGCATTATCACAGGATATGTACGCCCTACACCATTGGAGAAAAATACTGTTTATCCAGTATTGCACCACCTCTCATCTTCCAGGAAGTAGCAGCCAGCAAAGAAAGGACCAAGACATTGACATCTCCGGCCCATCCTCTGTTCAGATGTCAGCCAGCAAGCCAATTCCTTAAATTAAGAAATAGCTTCCTAAGATCTACAGAGATAACTCTCAGGAATGCTTCAGCAAGCAAGAGTCCAAAAGTGGCAGGTTATAACCCGGAATCTCATTCAGTGGCTGATATCAGATGAGAAACTCCCCTCTGGGCACACAAAAGACTGGGTGACTTGGAAAGCACTGAACTGAATGCTCTGGCACTACAAGATGCAGAGCCAACGTTAAGAAATGGGGCCACAAAGTGGATTCCACGACATGCGAGTATGGAGAAGAGCAGACCACCTACTACAATGCAGTCTGAGCCATGCCACATGCATAATGGAAGACCTTCTCACAGCAACACCAGAGGCATTCCAAGTGGCCAGCAAGGTCAAAGAAAATTTAGTATAATGCCAAGTTTCTAACTTTCTTTATGTTTTTAAATACATTATAACTGTATTCTGAATCTGCTTCTGACACAATAAATAAATAATGGTTAGATGATATTTCCTTGGATTGTAAAATTTTCTTTTACACAGTGTAGACATCCCCGCCCCCTGAAAATGGGCTTGTATATGTTTCAAAGAAAGGGGAGAAGGGTTGAGTGGGCAGGAAAGTACGCTTGGGAGCCAATCATTTATTTCCTGTATTTCTACTCAAAGCACCCAGAAAGATGGTCCAGATAAAAATAACCAATATGGTGTTTTAAAACCAATAAAAATACTGGCAGCAATTAGAAAGAGGCAGTGTACTGACCCAAGAGAAATAAGAATAGATGATATTACAGAGTAAAAGTATAATTGACATTTAAAGCATCATTTGAAATAAGTGCCTTCACTTGTTGTATTTTTATATTGTGCAAGATTATTGTTGGAGTCATTGCTACTGTCTTTGTTGAAGGTTGCTTTAGCCATTAGCGTCACTGTTCTGAAATATTGCATATTTTCTATGTTTCAGCTTTTGTTTGTTAGGCATCAGTTCAAAATAGCATTCTTCAGTGAGCTGAAGCAAGATACACAGAATGCTCTAAAGTAAGTATTGTTACGCAGTCCTGAAGTCTGAATTGCTTTTCCTCATGAAGCAATTTTCCTTGTCCACTTTCAAAAAGATAGGAATGTGAAACAGAGCATGGAAAACATTGTTTTGCTCCCTTTCTTTAAGCAGTATGAGAGTGCTGTATCCAAACAAAGACATACTCCATCATGTCATGCAGAGTGTTGTATGTTCCATCAGGAAAGTTTACCTAAGAGGCTCCCTTGAATTTCTAAAAGCAAACAATTTCCTCTGGCACCTTGCAAAAGTACTCATTCTTTTCTTACATAATTATTTGAGAGTGGGCCCATAGTGCTGTAATTGAAAATTTATGGAAGATGACCATGCCTTCATATGATCTAATTTAGAGGAGCTTCAGTGTGATGTTCATATCCTAGACTGACTGATTATTTTTTCATGCTGAGGAAAATGGGTTGCACTAGGGTTTGCTACGTTATTTCTGGATACTTCTGGATTGCTCATTCACGACACCTGCTTCAATGTCTTATTTAGAAACTACAGAACTGCATACAATCTTGTACATGAATTAAGAGCTCATGAAACAAATATGTTGGAAATCAAGACTATGGCAGGATTTATAAATTACAAGGTAAGTGTTGGTTTAATTTCCAACATGCTTCTTGACATGTAGCTTCTGTTTAGACGATAAGTGGGATTATTTGGAGCACTAAATCAAAAGAAAGGAAATGCCTTGCTTTGCAGAGGGTTCTGTCTGAAAACAACCTTGTCTTAGCATTTGAAAACAGTAGGATGCATACAGCATGAATGTGGTAGATTCTGATGCATGTTGTCTCTATAGACCTTAGTGATTTTAAATAGTATAGTAATCCACGGTTAAGGAAATTTGGTGGGTTTTCTAAACAGAAAGAGTATATAGCCAGTGTTATTCCACTAGAGTGCACTTAGGAATGGAGAACTGAATGGACAGAAGTGCAAAGCCATGGTTTGCTAGTATTTTTGGCTTGGGTTTTAAACTATGGTTATTACCAGCTGTATTTGATATTGGGTATGAATAGAGGTACAGTTTAATATATCTACAAAGTCATTGGGGATATAGGGAATAATTTCCAATGTATGCATTGCAAACGGAGAAAAAATATATTGTCATTCCATGAATGAGTGTAAGGTTTTGAAGAGTCAAAAGTCAAAAATTTGCAGTTAATGGGGCCAAAAATTATCAAGCTTTGTGTGTAATGGGATATGAAATTTTAGACTTGATCCTATGAAAATATACATTTTAATGTAATCTGTAGGCATAGCGTGAGAGGTTGCAGGGCTGCCGACACAAGAACACATTATAATTGAAGAAAACAAGGCCAGAATTATATTAATTTGAGTTAGATAAATTTTGCCTACCGTGAAGCCAGAATCCAGGAATTCCCATTATCCTTGAACACTGGCTAAATTCTCTGGCTAGCTTCTCTGGAAGCAGTGCTGGAATAACAACATGATAGTCATGTGGGCACCAGTTGCTGTATAGTTTCCTTTCCAACTGGGAGTGACGCTTTCCAAGGATTCTTTGAGCTTGGCCTGACAGTGTTAGGCTGTACCACCAAGATCCATTAACGGGAGCCCTGAGCAAAAATGAGATATGAGCATGTAGACCAGGCATGGGCAAACGTCGGCCCTTCAGATGTTTTGGACTTCAACTCCCACAATTGTGTTAAGAATTGTAGGAATTGAAGTCCAAAACACTTGAGACTCTGTCCCTCCAAAACAGAATCAAGTCAATTCGTGCTGCTAAAGTTGTTACCAAAAAACACCTATTCAGAACCCAATTAGCAAGCAGCAATTCAAAATACATACATCATCAAAGGGATCACAGAGAATGTGAGCATATGTATTGCACTGCTAAATTAATCACAATAGTAATGTGTTATAGTTTTGAAACAGAGCTATTGACAGTTGTAAAATATTTTAATCTAAATTTTCTAACTCCAAATCTCTTTAGATTTGTCGCCTGTGTTTTCAACATAATACACCTCTGGATGCAATTGCACAGTTTCGAAAACACATAGACTTGTGCAAGAAAAAAATTGGGAGTGCAGAGTTGGCTTTTGAGCATGCTGCCTGGATGTCAAAACAGTATGTGATTTTATTAAGTAAATTTTAGAACTGCTGTTGATGATTCGTTGAGCTTATTCAAGATGGTTAACCTGTTACTTTAGTGTGCAAAGTTTTTCATAGCCTTTTCACATGTAACCTCTGTTATAACAGTAGGTTATGATGAGTGTTGTTCTATTATGTATGATGTATGACATTGAAACAATGTCTTGCTGAAAACTAATTATTTAATCAGTAAAAAAACTGGAGTGTGAATTAGATTCATGACTAAGAGCTATATTCAAAATAAAATTGATCATTGTTTTGTTTGAATTTTTAGTCTTTTATTTATATAGGCATTGAATGTTTGCCTGTTATGTTGGAAGCCACTCTGATCCTCTTGGGGAGAAAGGGTGGGATACAAATACATTATTATTATTATTATTATTATTATTATTATTATTATTATTATTAAAGAAGCATTAACTAGATTTCCTCTCATTCAGTTTTAAGAAACCAGATACCAACACCCTCATATGTGTAATGCAAGTATAAACTACAGGCTGTTCAATTCCTATATTCTCTATTATTTACTGGGCCACCTAGGGTTATGGAGCTAGAGCTCAAAGCATTAGGAAAACTACAGTTGCCCAGTTCTGATATAGTGGCTAAATATGTGATTAATAGCTTTCAGATAATTAACCAGGTGAGATCACATCAGTTTTTTATGAAATAAATATAACAAGCATGAGAATTGAAACATGATAGATTTTTGTTTATTATTCTGCTTCTGTTGCTTTTATGTATAACCAAGAGAAGTGGTTAACAGTTTGTTTGTTTTTTCTTTTGAAGTTAGAATCTCAAACTCCTTGGAAATCAGGGTGTTTTTATGACTTGTGAGCTGTGTATTGTCTACTTCTGTTTTTGAATGCTGTTTTAGTGTTTGAAAAATCTAATATAGAACATGGCCATATAGCCTGAAAAAACCCACAAGAACTTAGTGATTCCAGCCATGAAAGCCTTCGACAATACAAAAAATCTAATCCCTGTATCTTTTTGGGGGAAAAACAGGTTCCAAGCTTTTGGAGATTTGTTTGATGAGGCTATTAAACTTGGATTGACAGCTATACAAACTCAAAATCCAGGTTTCTATTATCAGCAGGCGGCATACTATGCACAAGAACGAAAACAGTTAGCGAATATGCTGTGTAATCATGAGGTGAGTCAGAAGGGGGCCTTAAACTTGTTTAAGGTCTAGCAAAAAGTGTTATTCTTGTATTATTTGTTGTGCACAAAAGAATTATTAGCTTCTTTTAGTTTTGTATGCTGGTATCTACTTAGCTGTGCTTTTACATGTTAAGTCAACTATGTGAATGCTGAGGTTAATCACTGGCATGGCTAGTCTTCTGTATACCATTAATACTTGCTATAATTGCAGTATGTGTAAAATGCCGCAGTATTCTTATTTCTGCATGGCCATTAGTGAATGTGGTTTGTGTGAAAATCATATCTATTACATATGGTCCTTAAAAAATAATAGATGATTTAATCCCAAATAGAACATCAGATATTACCCTAATCCTATTTTATCTTGGAAACTAATCAGGGTCAGCTCTGGTTAGTACCTGGATAGAAGACCACCAATAAATACTAGATGCTGTAGGCTATGTTTCAGAGAAAGTAACTGGCAAAACCACCTTCCTTGCCCAAGAAAGACCATGGTGTCAACTTAAATTGATAGGTAGCTTGAAGTTGTGCACACGTATATACATGAGCACAATACCCGGAATGATATAAATCGGGAGTAAAAGTACTGTTTTCAACTACTGAGTCCATAGTGAAAAGTCAGTGCTGTAATGAATTTCCCATGAAGTCATAACTGTTATTTCCAGTGTGTGGAGGCCATCATCTAAAAAGCCTAGAAGTTCTACTTAGGTATAACTGCTTGCATGTGCATGTATGCACACACACAGAGTCATGTACACAAAGATATATGCATTAATTCTCTTGCCTCCAAGTGACTCAAGCATCCGTATGAATGTTAGTGCTCAGTTTTTAGTGCTTTAATGTTTAATAACTACTACTCCCTCATTTATGGCACATTATATTGTTTTTTGACTTTAGAATATTTTTTCTTATTTTTTTACTGTACCACACACAATTAATTTACACTTTGCTCAATTTACAGCCTGCTACAATCTACCCAAATCCAGATCCTTTGGAAACTCAAACTGGAGTGCTTGACTTCTACGGACAAAGACCATGGAGGCAGGGAATATTAAGTAATTTTTTTCTGTTTCTTTCCTACTGAGTCTAAACAACAGTAAAAACAATAAAAATCCTAGTGTGTTTTAAACTGTATTCTAGCGAGCCCTGTATTCCTTACATAGCTCTATAGAGATTCCTTTATGAGAAGGCTAGTAATAGGAGCCCAGGCTTCCATGAAAGACAGTTTACCCTTTACTATTGACAGTAGCCTACACTGGACACATTTAGGGAGTGTGGTTGTGCTGTGTTCTAGCTTGCCAGTTACAGTTAATACAGGGTAGTGGTGAAACTGGACAGATATGACCAGGACCTTTGATGAAATGTGGGCGACCAAAAATGCTTGCAAGAAATTCAGTGAAATACGTGGCAAAGCTCTTTAGAGTGTATGTTAGGAACAGTGTCAACCAAGGAGAATGTTTATTCGAAAGCCATTACCTCCATTAAGAATTGAATATGCTTCTTCTTGATTCATTCAGTAATTTTGCGTAATTTTAATTGGATGTTTTTATATTTGATATTTTAACTATTTGTTTAAATGTAATGGGTTAAAGTGCTGAGCTTGTTGACTGAAAGGTCACAGGTTCAAATCCGGGGGGTGGCGTGAACTTCTGCTGTCAGCCCCTAGCAATTCGAAAACATGCAAATGTGAGTAGATGAATGGGTACCGCTCTGGCAGGAAGGTAACGGCGCTCCATGCAGTCATGCCGGCCACATGACCTTGGAAGTGTCTACGGACAACATCGGCTCTTCGGCATAGAAATGGAGATGAGTACCACACCCCAGAGTCGGACACAACTGGACTTAATGTCAGGGGACAACCTTTACCTTAAACTGTTATTATAATTATCTTTGTTTTGGCATCTAATAATGGTTGCCAGTGGTGAGGCCACTCTGAGCCCCGCTCCGGGGTTGAGAAGGACAGGATATAAATGTGTGAAATAAAATAATAATAAATAATTCATTCTCTAATCTTGGTAAAACTAGAGGTGTTTCTTTGCATATCTCAGGGCCCTTCCAGACAGGTCCTATATCTGATTCCAGGTTTTCTGTTTATCCCAGATTACCTGACAGTGTGGACTCATATAATCCGTTTAATACAGAAAATCTTTCACACAGCCATATAACAAGAAAAAATTGGTTGGATTGTGTATAATTTCTATAATAGGTTTGCTTTAAAACATAGCATTTCAAGTATACCCCAGATATAAGTGTGCTTAGTTGAATATATATTTTAGAGCAATCTTCTTCACAGATCAAGGAGTGCAGCTGAGTTTTAGAACATTCTTTCTCCTAAGATACAGCAGTGTTTAGAATGCGAGCATTCTTGAACTAGAACTAGGTTGCCATGTCACCATCATAACAAAAAGTGCATATAGTTCATTCTGAGACTTGAGAAAAATTAGTAAAATGGACTTTTCATTGGGATATGCAGGTTTTGATCTCAATGATCCCGAAAAGGAGAAAGTCGGCATTTTGGCTCTACAACTGAAAGAGAAGAAGGTTCTTCATTCTGTAAGTGAGATTTCAATAGTATTTATTCTTCATCATTGAATCTATAATTACAGCTATTTTTGTTTGTTGTGTGCTTTCAAGTTGCATCAATATATATTTTTATTTACTAGGAGCTAATTATCACTTTGCTGAGTAATGCAGTTGCACAGTTCAAGAAGTACAAGTGTCCAAGGATGAAAAGTCACTTGAGTATGTATCAGTTGGCAACCAAATATTTGAAATTCCTTTGATGGTGTATTTTCTTTTTAAAAGATTACAAATAATCTGATCTTCTTTTCAGTGGTTCAAATGGGCGAAGAATACTACTATGCTAAAGATTACACCAAAGCTTTGAAGTAAGTGTTATGTTATAAACGTCCTGCTGCATGGCTATATATATTTGGCAACTTAGCTAAGTGAGAATCAGGAACCTTTTTTACTAATGTGCAAATAGTGGAATTGTATCTTCTTCAGCTGGATATATATATTTATTTAAATTCCATTGGTATGTACCAAAGTGAGGTTGTGGCGATTGAGTTTTGTCCCTGCTGCCGTTTAACAAATTGTAGCAACATGTCTTGCTGAACAGGAAATGACATCACACCCCTTTCAGTTTAGACAGAAAATTGCCATTTCAGAGCATTTAGGGCGCAAGTAAAGGAATCACAAGAGGGTATTAGACACTAAAATTAACCAAGTCACCGCATTTTTGTGACAGTTGGGCTGCTTGATGGCTATATGCTTTTAATTAAAAAAAATTAAATGGGGTATTTTGAAAGTTTTTGGGGGGAGGGTCTTCTTTTCTGCAGAAAAAAGACCGGAAGATGTATGTGGCTCCTTGGCTGAACTTTCCGCGCACTTGGTTTATACAAATATGTCTTTAGCTGTAAAATTAGCTCATTACGAAGGGCTGAACTGTATGCTTTCTATCTGTTTCCTGCCCTGTTATTCAGGATTTGTAGTTGCTTTCTTGTGCATGAATAGCATCAAACAACAAATTAACTCAGAGACAAGAGGCCATCTATATAAATAAATATGTAATGTTCGTTTGTGGGATTAACATAACTCAAAAACCACTGGACAAATTGACACCAAATTTGGACACAATACACCTATCAGGCCAACAAGTGACCATCACTCATAAAAACACTGAAAAACACGGCAGAAGAGACTTAAAAAGCCAAAAAAAAAATACATCACAACGCATGCTCAAAACCACATATATACGCAAACACACATATACACAAATATATACACACACAAAACACATATACACAGACTTGGCTACATGCAACGCATGGCAGGGGATGGCTAGTAAATGCGTGAAAAGTCAAGGGAATGAATCCAGCCCCTTCTCTGTTCACAAACAGCTTACTGGCATTGTTCAAACTCATTGTGCTGACTATCAGTTCAGTAGATGGTCATGTGGTCATGATACTTTGGTATCCAAAACACTGTTGTTTAGAGACAGATTTAGGCACATCAGTGTTTCAAGAGCATCTTGAGCCATGCACACCTTATAATGGGCAGAACAGATTTAATCTCCTTGATTTCTTAGACTGGTAAGAATTACTAGGTCCGTTCACTTGCCTAACTGCTGTTTTTTTGCATCTTTTTTCAGACTGCTTGATTACGTTTTGTGTGAATACCGCAGTGAAGGATGGTGGACCCTCCTTACTTCGATACTGATCACAGCCCTTAAATGCGCGTATCTCATGGCGCAAATAAAAGATTACATCACATACTCATTAGAGTTGTTGGGAAGGGGTAAGGAAATGAAATTCGGTTTTGTCTTAAATGAATATTTTCTTTAGCTTGACTTCTTTTCAGTTGAATCAAGAGCAGTGATAGACTCTTGGTGTTGTTTATGGAACTATACTTGTTGGAAGGATTTTCAGTGTTTTAAAAGAATAATTCCTTGGTTTCAGAGTTTAGAACAGTTCATGCAAGCTTGACATGCTAAGAGACAGTTTCCCTCTGTATTCTTTTGGTTAAAATTAGCCCAAAGAAACTAAACAGAAATGTCTTGAAATCCACTTCAGAAGGGGCAGGAGAGGCTAGACCAGGCATATGGGCCTACTGGCTGTTAGGAAATGTGGAAATTGAAGTCCAAAACACCTGGAGGGCCGAAGTTTGCCCATTCTTAGGCTAGACAAACTAAAGAATGAAAGGGTACTAATACGATGTTTGAAAAGCCAGGCTTCCTGTCTGAGGTTGGGATCCAGGATGGGGCTCTGGGAAAGGACGGTTGCTTGCTATGATGTGTTCCCTGTCTCTGAAGTGATGGGTTTGAGAGGGTGTTTTGCTAGTAAGGAGCCACAAGCTTTTGTGATAACTATGGATTGTTGACTTCTGAGAGTCCCAGCCTGCCTTGGTATTGTTGGGCCACCCATTTGGTACCTCATTTGCTGCTTTGGTGGACCTGTCCGAATGTATCTCCTCCAATGAACCACCTCGAAGATTAAGATCATCTGAGGAGGCCCTGCTCTTGGTCCCGCCTCCTTCACAGGCACGACTGGTGGCAACAAGAGATAGGACCTTCTCAGTGGTGGCCTCTCGGCTGTGGAACTCCCTCCCCAGCGATATTAAAACAGCCCTCTCCCTCCTGGACTTCAGAAGGAAAGTAAAAACCTGGCTTTGGGATCAAGCCTTTGAGAGTAACTATAGTGCAATAACAGCTACGGAATATGTGCAATGATTGTTGGAACGGCTCCGGATTATGATTGTGGATGACATGATTTTAGTAGTAAATGTAATGTTTTTATATGTTTTAATGTGCATTGTTCTAAATTTTAATGTAAATGTATTTTATCTGTATGTTGTCCAAAGGCATTGAATAGTTGCCTCTGTATAAAGCTTCCTTGAGCCCCCTTCGAGGTAGAGAAAGGTGGGATCTAAATAGGGTAATGTGCTCTACTTTAGGAGAAGAAATTGTTAGGGAAGACTCGATCCTTTGCAGATTTTCCAACCTGTAATAGCAAATAACCCTACATTATAAATTGAAAATAGGTCGTAGTCTCTCTGAGATCTTTACATCTGGGGCAGAAGCGACTTGCAGTTTCTCAAGTCGCTCCTAACATGACAAAAAATTGTAAATATTTCAATAAAATGAAAATCTTTATAAATAAATGTTTCTTTATTTTCATTAGCATCTACTTTGAAAGAAGATCAAAAATCTCGGATAGAAAAGAATCTTATCAAGGTTCTCATGGTCAGTATGTAAAATGTAATATGTTTAACATAGTACCTCAAACATGCGTGTTCTACGTCTAGAACTAATCAAGTTATATAACCTTTTCTTGAATTCAGAACGAGAATCCAGATCCGGAACCTGACTGTGATCCTGTTTCTGTGAAAGCTGCACAGAAGTTGTGGGCTGATAGAGTTTCTCTGTCAGGCAGTAATATTTTTACCATAGAAGTGCAAGAGTTTGTACCATTTGGTACGTATGAAATGATTTATTTTAACAAAAAAGCCATACATTTGTGTGCATAATGATCATCAAAACAATAAAATGCATGTTTTAATGCAGTAAACATTTGCTGCATATATTGCAATACTGTAATTTATATTTTAGTGTGCAAATCAGTTTTTCAGATTGTATAGGATTCTCCCTAGTAAATTAACTTGAAGGATGGTATAAACTCATATATTTGTAAAAAAAATCTGTCTGTATTAAGAAGGGAAAATATTATTTTATGATCCTGTAAAATTCAACCCTAGATTATACTGCCATGAATGAGTTCCCTCATTGGTTTGGGAAATAAATGAACTATGCTATATTTGCTTTTTCTCCCTTCTCAGTGGCCTGTTCTATGGGTCATTTGAACATGGTGCAGAAAATCTATTTCTGAATTGTGTTCAGATATCCATTAAAATGACCCAGAAAAGGAAAATAGCAGCTTTTTGAAAATAGCAGCATTCAAATCTGTATAGTAGTCCACAGTCTAAAGCAGGGGTCCTCAGACTTTTTAAACAGAGGGCCAGGTCACAGTCCCTCAAACTGTTGGAGGGCCAGATTATAATTTGAAAAAACATGAATAAATTCATATGCACACTGCACATATCTTATTTGTAGTGCAAAAAACACTTTAAAAATACTATAATTAAAATGAAGAACATGTTTAACAAATACAAATGTATTAGTATTTCAGTGGAAAGTGTGAGCCTACTTTTTGCTGATGAGATAAGATTGTTGTTGTGTGCTTTCAAGTCATTACAGACTTAGGTTGACCCTGAGCGAGGGCCAGTTAAATGACCTTGGAGGGCCGTATCCGGCCCCCGTGCCTTAGTTTGAGGACCCCTGGTCTAAAGCAATAATAAGTATTTTTGGTTCAGAAAGAAGATAGCATTAGGTACACTGGAAATGTTTGCTATGTAGAAAATTGTACAGTATCTTGCACTTGGAAAAGGTTACATTTTCAGCAATCATTGCTGCTTCAGTAGAACGGCAGATGTTGTGACGTTTTATACCTAAATCAACTTCTCGTATCGTATCAGTAGAGTTCATTTTTTTTTACCTTCAGACAGAGGAGGAATAGGTTTCCCATTAATTTAATATTTTTAAAGTACCATATTAATGAACTTCAGTTCTTAACATTTCTCATCATTGACCAAACTGTTAGAAATTTTGGAAATCTGAAGGGCTGTAGTTTCCTGAGCTAGCACAAAGTAAATAATAACAACAACAACATTATTTTTATACCCCACCTCCATCTCTGAGGGTCAAGTCTGAAAAAACACAGACAAAAACAAACAAAATAACACAGACAAAAACAAAAAACAAAATATCAAAAATAAAATAAACACGTCACAATAACACATCGCAAAAACTTATATGTTCTTCTTATCTAATCCAGCAAAGCTCATCTGTTGCTGGGCTAACATTCTAATTTGACAAGTCATTTTAATAACATTGTATTTTTGGATTTTTTTCTTTTGTCCCAAATTCTAGTGCAATGCAAAGCCAAATTTCTCTCTCCAAGTTTTCACATTGATTCACCAGTTCAGTTTGATATATTCTTGAAAGCTGATTGCCCTCATCCTATCCGGTTCACTAAGCTGTGTGTCAGTTTCAATAATCAGGTAATTTTTTTTTTAAAAAAAATGTTCTTCCAACAAAAACAAATGTTTTCTTAACAGATTATTACACTTCTGCCAACCATTTTAATTCGGCAAAAGCAGGCTGTATAATCATGTATTTGCTTAATAAAGTTGCAATATGTAAGTATTCTTCCATTTAGTATAGCCTCCCTTTTGTTTCAGCCAGAAACTGTAACAGGTTTGACATACATTAGAATAGGAGGGTAACCTCCGATCATGGCTTTAAATCCTGACTTGTTAGGAAGCTATTAATAATAGTGTCTTATCTTGGACAAAATGGAATATCATTAACAAAATATGTTCAGGTTTGTTTGTACAAAAAGAGGAACAAAAGGACTATGTGTGCTGCCAAATTGTTCTAGGTCAGTGGTTCCCAACTTGTGGTCCGCAAGAATGAAAATATGATCTGTGGCCTCACCATTACAACGTCGTTACCTCGAAACCACACGGCAACAAGATTGACTGGTCTCAAAAATCTCTTATAGTGACGAGGCAATGGGGATGTCAGGAGGAGAGAGGATGACCGCTCATGAAAGATTACTACTACCACATCAGTTCTAGATTATTAAACATGGTTTTCTGTGGGCAAGCAGACAGCGACTGGGAAGCACTGTTCTCAGTGATACATATAGGTTGTATCAGGAACCATCTTAAAGAACAATTCCTTTCAGAGAAAAGAGAATTGCTCTTTTAAGATGGAATTTGCCACCTATGTTGTTAGGTTTTTGGATCAAAGCTTTGCATATTAAGAAAATCGTTTATGTCCTTAAGAGAGAGTAAATACTGCCTTCCAGATGTATTGGGTTACAAGCCACATCACCTCAATGCATCTGACCAAGACTGGTCTAACTAGCTGGTTTACTTACAGTAAACTCCTGTGCAAATCTGCATAAAAATATCATTGGGTTTGGTATACAGCCCATAGAGCTAAGTTGCAGTCATCCTAGGTTCTTGGGAAGGATATTATGTTAAAGAGTGCTACGTACATTTCTAAATTATCGTTAGTTTGAAAGCTAGTTTATTAAAATCCTTACCTATGAAAAGCGTAAAAGGATTTTACATAATTGAAATGAGTCGGACATTCTTATGTTACAGATGGTTTATTCTGCTCCCCTTTCACTTCATAGGAATACAACCAGTATTGTGTGATGGAAGAAGTCTATCAAAAAAGTGAAACCTTGGAATCATCCACACAGGAGACATTGTGTCTTATCCCTGGTAAAACAAAGAAGTTCACTTTCAAATTTGTGGCAAAAACCGAGGATGTGGGAAAGAAGATTGAGGTAAGCCTTTTACTGATACATGAAATCAGTTTTGTTGACTTACAATAATAATAATAATAATAATAATAATAATAATAATAATAATAATAATAATTCAGGACCTCAAAATCGAACTGCAAAGGCTCTGGCATAAGCCAGTACAGGTGGCCGCAGTGGTCAACGCCACACTGAGTGCCGTGCCAAAAGACCTCAGCTGACATTTGGAAACAATAAACATTGACAAAATCATGATTTGTCAACTGCAAAAGACCACCTTACTTGGATCTGTGCACATCATTCGAAAATACATCACACAGTCCTAGACGCTTGGGAAGTGTTCGACTTGTGATTTTGTGATACGAAATCCAGCATATGGATCCCCTTTGCTGTGACATACTGTGGTATCTGTAAAATAATCATCATCATCATCATCATCATCATCTTTATTTATATCCCTCCCCATCTCCCTGGAAGGACTCGGGGAGATGGGATAACGTTTAGAATATGTGAAAGACTGGCAGTCTTACCCTATGGTTTCGTGTTTTAAGAATGAGAGTATCGTGTGCTTGGGCCTATCACTGCATTAGTTGTGGGTTGTGGTGCTGCATACCTTGCTGCTGTGAATTGTGTGGGAGAGTGCGGAGTTCACAGGAAATATGGGACATGACATTTCTCAGTGTTCTCAATCTTGTAATTTTATGTATATCAGCATGGAAAAATTAAACCTGGTTAAACTCAATTTGTTAGAATAAGCATACTGAAATATTGACAGTCTTTTAATAAATTCTCCATGGGTTGTAATTGAAAAAGTCAGAAATTGCTGGATGCTTATTTCCAAAGGGTCAAACTGGCTTTCCACACACTCCCTTCAGAATATTGCCTTTCATCAGCAGAACTTCACTGAGGACAGGCACTGTAATGATGACTGTGGCCCAATTTTAAGTTAATACCAATCTGGAAATAGATTTTATGTGTATTTACAATGCATTAAAAATGGATGTAGGCAGAAATTGTGTTGATGCTTTCTGTATTTCAGATCACATCAGTGGATTTGCTTCTAGGCAATGAGACCGGCAGATGTGTGATTCTGAACTGGCATGGAGGAGGCGGGGATGCGGCTTCCGCTCAAGAAGCGTTGCTGGCAGCTCGATCCTTCAAGAGGCGACCTAAACTTCCAGATAATGAAGTTCATTGGGACAGTCTCACTGTTCAGGCCAGCACCATGTAAGTAGAAATGGGCACTTGTAAGGTTCTTCCTCATACAAATGTTTTAATTACAGTGATAAATACAGTTGGTTTTTTTTTGTTTTTTTTTTTTTGGCATTTGCACCATTTGAAAACAAAGATCTTGAGAGGTTTTTCTGTTTCTGGAATACTTGAGTAATGAGGCTATTTATTAAGAAAAAATTGGCAAGATGATTTGAGAACACAGCGTACAAAAATATGTACAGTATGACAGCTTGGTATTCTGGACATTCAAGACATTTAAATTATTACCTATATAAACACAGACATGCTGGCTAGCAAATCAGACCTGCCTTCCCATTTGTAAAATTGGAACACTAAAACTGCACAGTAGTTCAGGGGATTTTGAGAACTTCTATCAAAATACTACATTAAAAAGGCAAAGGTTTCCCCTGGACATTAAGTCTTGTGTCCGACTCTGGGGGGTTGGTGCTCATCTCCATTTCTAAGCGACGTTGTCCGTAGACGTCTCCAAGGTCATGTGGCTGGCATGACTGCATGGAGCGTTGTTACCTTCCTGCACGAGTGGTACCTATTGATTTACTCACAGTTACATGTTTTCGAACTGCTAAGTTTACAGAAGCTGTTGCTATCAGCGGTAGCTCACCCTGCTCCCCAGATTTGAACTGCCAACCTTTTGGTCAGCAAGTTCAGCAGCTCAGCGGTTTTAACTGCTCCTAGAATACTGCATTGTGGGACTGTTATTGATAAGTTATATGTTCAGATGATAGAAGGAAACAGGAGTTTATCCACCTATCTATATAAGTGGGTAGGTCTTTTCAGAAAGCTGCATTTGAAATTTATCAGCAGCCCAGGATATTGAAAACTCTCCCACTCATTCACAGGTTTATGATACCAGGATTTAGCTATTTATTTAGGATCTCTCCCCCCCCCCCCCCATGTCGTTTTTGTTTTTCCAGGTAGTTCTGGAACGTAACACCCATGATAAGTGAGGGAACACTGAAGAATAAAATTTGATTTATCTGACTTGGTTTGCATGAATTGCTATCAGGTTTACATTCTGACTGCCACAGGTCATAAAACCAGTCTGTAAAGGATGTTTACATTGCCACACACAGTTGACTTCTTTCTGTTTCTTTTTATTAAAGGATCATTTCTAGAGTGCCAAATATTTCTGTGCAGCTTAGCCATGAACCTCCTGCCCTGACAAACGAAATGTACTGTTTGATTGTGACAATCCAGTCACACGAGAAGACAGTTGCCAAAGACGTAAAGCTTACAGCTGGCTTAAAACCAGGTATTTATTCTGTATGTGATGTTAGTTCACCGTTTCCATGGAGTGGGATGATCTGATTACAGAAGGGATTAAATGTTGCTTCCATATCCTGTACAGCTGAAATTCCTGGCATGAGAATAACTAGATAGTTGACTTAATGGTTGAAGACAAATTAGATTGTACATCAGAATCTAATTTAAATTACTGTATATACTTGAAAATAAGCCAAGTTTTTCAGACCTTTTTTGGGGCAGAAAAAGCCTCCTTCAACTTATAATGGGGTCAAGCCGGGCAGCGGAGCCTGGAAGTCATTGCTTGAAATATATGATTTATTTCTCTCTCATTTCCCCCTCCCTTATCAGTGTGTTTTCTTTTCCAAATCCACCCTCCCACACTTGAGAGGGAGAGAAGTCCTTGCAAGTCAGGAATATCCATTAATCCTATAAAAGCTTTTTCCCCTGAAATATTTGTTAATATCTCTTACAGATATATAAGCATTTCCCCCTGCAAACCTTTGCAATCCCTATATAGCTATATATTATCTGTATCTATCTATATATTATCTATCTATCTATCTATCTATCTATCTATCTATCTATCTATATATTATCTGTATCTATCAACGGCCACTCTGGGGCCAGAATAAAGAAGGGGAGCCAAGAGGACATCTTGTCCCCTGTGACATCAGCGCCCCTCCCCCAACACCAACGGCCACTCTGGGGCCAGAATAAAGAAGGGCATCTATATCAGCATCTATATGTATACATTATTTTATATATGAATTCCCCCCCCCCCACATGTTTGCAAGTCTCTGCAAATCCTATATAGATATAGATAAATATATAGATGTACCTATATATCTGGACTAGCGGGTAGGCCATTATATCAGCTGGGCCTTCCATCGAACCCCTCTCTCTGAGAGAGTGCCCGGTCGCGGCGCTATATTTTCCCCCATCTCACCATCTGGGAGGGCTGAAGTGAGTTGGCAGGCCCGCGACCTATTCGGCCCCCTGCCCATCTGGAAGAGGCCGTGAAAGAGCGCTAGGCCGCGCTGCCATTACCCCCCCTCCCTTGCCATCCAGGAGGGGGGAAGAGAGCCGGCTAGCTGCGGCCCATCCGGCCCCTCCATCCATCTGAAGGGGCCGTGGAAGAGCTTTAAGCCTTCGCTGCCACCGCCCCCTCCCTGCCATCCAGGAGGGGTGAGGAGGAGTCGGCAAGCCGCGGCCTATCCGGCCCCTATCCGGCCCCTCCGACCTCAGGAAGGGGCCGCGGAAAATCGCTAGGCCGTGCTGCCACCGCCCTCCCCCTTGCCATCCGGGAGGGGGTGAAGAAGAACCGGCAAGCCGCGACTACCCAGCCCCTCCGAACATCGGGAGGGGCCACGGAAGAGCGCCGGGCCGCGCCGCCATTACTCCCCCTCCATTGCGATCTGGGAGGGGTGAAGAGAGCCGGCTAGCCGCGGCCTATTCCGACCCCTCCGTCCATCTGGAAGGGGTCGTGGAAGGAGCGTTGGACCGCATCACCATCGCCTCCCCCTCCCCTTCCACCATCCGGAGAGAGTGAAGTGAACCGGCTAGCTGCGTCCATCCGGCCCCCCCATCCAACAGGAAGGGGCCGCAGAGAGAACACCAGCCACGCTGCCATCACCCCCTCCCTCACCATCCGGGAGGGGTGAAGTGAGTGTGTACCAGCCAGCTGCGGCCCTCGTCGACCTCTTGCTGCATCGGGAAGGGGCCGAAGAGCTCCAAGAAGCTGCGGTTCGAGCACCCTTTGCGACGGGAAGGAGCTGAAAAGCCTTTTAGGCTTGCCTGAAAGCTGGATTCTGTTGTTTCCTATGTTGTTTACATAGGAAAGTGTGGATGGTAGCTGGGTGTGTTTAGTCTAGTGAGAGAGTGTGTATGTTTAGTATTAGTTGGTTGAGAGAATTGTGGGAGAGAGTGGAGAGTGTGGGATTGTGGAGTGCCTGGGAGTGGCTGGCTGTGTCGGAAGTTGAATGTGAGTAAGAGCTGAGGGGAGTGGTTAGATACGAGTGGTGTGAGAGCTACCTCTTAGACATAGGAATGGGTGAAGCAGAGTCTCATGCGAAGAATGATCTATTGCACTTTTATGACCTCCTGAGGGAGTCATTCAATCATGTGTTGCTTCAACTCAGGTTTTTGAACGAAAAAATGGACCACCTCCTTAGAGGCTTTGCCTCTTTCTCAGGAATTTCAGTGCAATCCAATCCCCCAAAGACTGATAACCTTTTGTGTGCAGATCCGTCCAAGGACTTGTGCCAAAATGGGGAGAAAGGCACTCTGGATCATGGGGATCATGGGGCGGAAGGAGGAATGAATGATGAGCTGACGGAGGGAAGGGGAGAATCTCTGGGCATATATAGGAATGAGAACATTTTGGAGTGGCAGCGGACTGTGATGGCCGCTCAGAGGACGATCAACAATACAACATCAGATCTTATGGTTCAGCCAACCGCAGTTTGCACCCAGGACCAACATCTCCTAACAGACAATTTTGCGGTGGACATTGCTGACCTAATGGTAAACAGAGGCAGATGGACCTCTAAGAGGGCAGTCTGTAACTCCTTGGCCCAAATCCTAGGTAAAAGATCACAGGAAATAAGACTAGAAGCCATAGTGTGGTTGTGGAGGGATTATCAATCATCTGACCGCTCCACCCGTCTTCAAATCACACCAGAAGACAACTCATGGCTTGGCGAGCTAATGGCAAAGTGATCTGGCCTAAAGAAATGGGGCATTACCATCAGGAGGGTAGTTGTGGACCCTCATATACGCCCCTTGTTTGATTCCGGGGTACCCTCTCGCCACATCCCATCAGGTCCCCGTGTGAACTCCACAGTTAGCTCCCCGGTTAGGGCCTCCCCTCCTGGTTCGTACCATTTTGAGACCCCATCTGCCCCGGTTGCCCCCACTCAACCAGCCACACTCCTCCGCTTGAGAACACTTCCCCTGTTCAGCCCACTCAGCTCCCTTGATGTTTCACTGTCTACCTCAACATCAGAAGCACTCCTACCTGACGCCCAAGGGAGATTATTCCCCAGCCCTACTTCTTCTGAGAGCTGACTAGCCATAGATTCCAACCATGTAGGGGGGGGGAGTCCCGGAGGAAGGGGGTGCCATCCAGGTCGTGTGGGGGAGGATATTTGCAGGTCACCAACATCCCAGGGAGAAGCGCAACAGAGTTCTTGCGACCCTGGAGAAGGTGGGAAGTGGTAGGCTCCATGGCAGTCCCCTCGGTCTTAAGGTTCTGCTGATTAATGCCAGATCTGTTAATGGTAAGACCGCGGCCATCCAGGACCTGATCCTGGATGAGAGGGCGGATCTGGCGTGCATTACTGAGACCTGGTTGGATGAGCTGGGGGGAGTAAATCTCACTCAGTTATGTCCACCAGGTTTCGGAGTGCATCAGCAGGCCAGACAGGGGGGGCAGGGAGGAGGGGTCGCAGTGGTCTTTCGGCAGTCCATCGCTGTGATCAGATGCGCTGTTCCGCAGGCCTCTGGGTTTGAGTGTGTCCACCTGAAGGTGGGGAACCGTGACAGTGTGGGGTTCCTGCTGGTGTACCGCCCACCCCGCGACCCAGCAGCTTCCCTGTCTGAGCTAGCGGAGGTGGTCTCTAATTCGGCCTTGGTTTCCCAGCGCTTGGTGGTACTGGGAGATTTTAACATCCACGCTGAGACCACCCTGTCTGGCGCAGCTCAGGACTTTATGGCCACCATGACGACCATAGGACTGTCACAATATCTGGACCCACCCATCAGGCTGGACATACACTTGACCTCGTTTTCGTTGCGGACAGCGAAATGATTAGAGTGGAAGAACAAAACATCCTTCCGGTGTCATGGTCTGATCATTATCTGATCAGTTTTAGACTTACTGCGACTCTCAACCTCCGCAGGGGTGGAGGACAGATTAAAATGGTCCGCCCTAGGAGACTGATGGATCCGGATGGATTCCTGAGGAATCTTGGGGTTCTTCCTGCTTTGGAGCCTGGCGATTCTATCGACGCCTTAGTGACTCTCTACAATAGGGAGATGTCCAGGGCGATAGATACGATCGCACCCGAACGCCCCATCTCGTTGCGTCGTGACAGGCCATCTCCCTGGTTCACCGGGGAGCTGGCTGTGATGAAGCATACGAGAAGGGGGCTAGAGCGCAAATGGAGGAAATCTCGGGACATGTCTGATCAAGCACGGGCTAAAGCCTCTCTTAGGGCATACTCCGTGGCTATACGGGTGGCCAGGAAATCATTCACGACCACCCGTATAGCGTCTGCAGCAAATAGATCATCGGAGCTGTTCCGGGTCGTGGGAGAACTCCTCCACCCACCTGTGGTGGAGGAGGTCACTGACGACCCAGCAGCTCGGTGTCGCGATTTCGCACACCATTTTGCAGGCAAAGTTGCTCAGATACGCCTTGAGCTCGACTCCAATTTCATCGCAGTGCCAGAAGAGGTGACGGAGGCATCTGCTTGTCCAACTTTGTGGGATTCTTTTAGGCTTGTTCTTCCTGAAACCGTGGAAGAGATTCTTGGGGCTGTGAGGGCGACCACCTCATCTCTAGACCCGTGCCCATCTTGGCTCATTAAATCGGCCAGGGAGGGGCTGGTTGATCGGTTTGTATTGATTATTAGCGCATCGTTGGAGCAAGGGATTTTTCCATCCAATTTGAAACAGGCTGTGGTTCGCCCACTCCTCAAAAAGGCTTCCCTTGACTCCACGGTGCTGAGCAATTACAGGCCAATCTCCAACCTCCCTTTTTTGGGTAAGGTGCTGGAGCGGGTGGTCGCCTCCCAGCTCCAGAGCTTTTTGGACGATACCAACTACCTAGATCAGTCACAGTCTGGTTTCAGGCCTGGTCACGGCACTGAGACAGCCTTGGTCGCCTTGGTGGATGACCTCTGCAGAGAGCTGGACAGGGGGAGTGTGACTCTGTTGGTTCTCTTGGACATCTCAGCGGCTTTCGATACCATCGATCATGGTATCCTTCTGGGTCGTCTCTCTGGGATGGGTCTCGGGGGCACGGTTTTGTCGTGGCTCCGATCCTTCCTGGAGGGACGAACCCAGATGGTGAAGCTGGGAGACGCCTGCTCGGACCCCTGGCCTTTGACCTGTGGGGTCCCGCAAGGCTCTATTTTGTCTCCCATGCTCTTCAACATCTACATGAAACCGCTGGGAGAGGTCATCCGGAGTTTTGGAGTTGGGTGCCATCTCTATGCAGATGACGCACAACTCTACTACTCCTTTCCATCTACTTCCAAGGAGGCCTCTCGGGTGCTGGACGAGTGCCTGGCCGCTGTGTCGATCTGGATGAGGAGGAACAAGCTGAAGATCAATCCTGACAAGACAGAGGTCCTCCTGGTCGATCGTAAACCGGATCGGGGTATAGGGTGGCTACCTGTGTTGGACGGGGTTACACTCCCCCTGAAGCCACAGGTCCGCAGTTTGGGTGTCCTCTTGGATTCATCGCTCACACTTGAGGCTCAGGTGTCGGCGGTATCCGGGAGGGCCTTTGCACAATTGAGACTTGTGCGCCAGCTGCGACCGTACCTCGCGAAGGCTGATCTGGCCGGGGTGGTCCATGCCTTGGTCACCTCTAGAATGGATTACTGCAATGCGCTCTACGTAGGGCTGCCCTTGAAAACGGCTCGGAAGCTCCAATTGGTCCAGCGGGCAGCAGCCAGGATGCTAACTGGGGCTCATTATCGAGAGAGGTCTACCCCTCTGTTTAAGGAGCTCCACTGGCTGCCATTTATTTTCCGAGCCCAATTTAAGGTGCAGGTGCTCACCTACAAAGCCCTGAACGGTTTGGGACCACCCTACCTGCGTGACCGCATCTCCATCTACGAACCCACACGCTCACTCCGGTCATCTGGGGAGGCCCTGCTCGTGATCCCACCTACGTCGCAAGCGCGCTTGGTGGGGACACGGGACAGGGCCTTTTCTGTGGCGGCCCCCCGACTTTGGAACGCCCTCCCAAAAGATCTTCGACAGGCCCCTACTCTGGCAGTTTTCAGAAAGAACCTAAAAACTTGGCTGTTCCGATGTGCCTTTTCAGATTAGGAATTCCCCATCACTAAGCACTTTAGTAGAATTAAGATCGCTGCACACCGCACTTATTTTAATCCTACGTTCCTCCTGCCATTTCAGCACTTTTAACCCTGTACCCACTGCTCTGGCCGGCCCAGTTTTAAAGTGTCCTGATGTATTGTTACTGTTGTTGTTATTTTGCTTAACTATTTTGATTTGCTTCTGTTTTGTCGTTGTGTTATGTTTTGTTGTACTGTGTTTTGAGGCTTCGGCCTGTGTAAGCCGCATCGAGTCCTTCGGGAGATGCTAGCGGGGTACAAATAAAGTTAATAATAATAATAATAATAATAATATATCTCTGTGTTTCTGTGTGTGTGTGTATGATTTTTTTCCCTTACATGTTTGTAAGTCTTTGCAAATTCTATATAGATACAATTATCTATAGAGAGATGACTAGGTAGATATGTATAAATACAGATATATAGGGCTTTCAAATATTACAGGGGGAAATGCACACACAAATATTTTAAGACATGTCTAGATTGATATGAATATAGATATATAGGGCTTGCAAATATTGCAGGGGAAATACACACACTTATACATACATACATATATATATATATATATAGAGAGAGAGAGAGAGATGTCTAGATAGATATAAACATAGATATATAGGGCTTGTGTTGTTTATATAGTCGTTGAATGTTTGCCTGTTACTATTTTGGAAGCCAGTTTGAGTCCTCATGGGGAGATAGGGCGGGATACAAATGAAGTTGTTGTTGTTTTGTTGTTGTTATTATTATTATTACTATAATTATTATTTAGTTATTTTTGATACCATATTGTTTTTGTTGATCCTACTTTTCCACTTACAGAGCAGGTTTACTGTGTTTCTTTGAAATATGGTAAATATTCAAAAACATTTAACCTACTATTGCCTCAATTAATGTAATTTTATTTGTATCTTTTTTATTTTGAAATTTACCAGCAACTACTGCATTTTCCACCCTCAGCTTAGTCAATAAGTTTTCCCGTTTTTTGAGGTAAAATTAGGTGCCTGGCTTATACTCAAATATATACAGTACATATATTATGGCAAAGGAGAAAGCATGATGAATTTTCACAGTACAAGATGTTTTGACTTGTTTTATTTATATTTAGAAAATCAGCTTTTCAATATTTCTTAATGACTTCAGTAATTTTTTAAGGTGTTTATGTACTCTGACCAATAACAATGTTCTCAGGACAGTTTGCAATAAAAAGTTTAAATTAACAGTAATAAATAATACAATTTTAAAAGAGAGAGAAAGATAACAATCTAAAAGACATTTGCATTGTGCTGAAAATGTAACAGCATGAAGTCTAGGGAAGCATCTTTAGGATGGCATACGACGAAATTTGCTGACAAATCTTGCCATTTTGAGGTTGCCTTACAACAAAATCAGATAGTAGTGGCTTTTGTTCAATGGATTACTGTGTGGATTATGCCTGGATTGTGTCTTGGTTGCATTTTTGCAGGGCAAATAGCCTGAAGCCTCTTCTGTATGTTGCCATGGTTCAATATAACAAATAAAATACTTGATATTTTTTCCTTTTTTTTATAGGACAGGATGCAAACCTAACTCAAAAAACTCATGTGACTCTCAATGGAGCAGAAATGTGTGATGATTCTTATCCTGCTCTACTTACTGATATCCCTGTGGGAGATTTGCAGCCAGGTGAAAAGGTAAACATGACTTACACTTGATCAACAAATACAAAGATGCAGTGATAGAATAACGTTTTGATGAATGAGGTGTGGTTGGTGTGAACTAAAGCAATTTCTTTGGCATGAAAAAAAAAGATTGAAATTATTAAGTTTCTCTATTTATATGTATCCTCAACAGTGAAGCGGATTTGACTGCTACGACATGTTAGTTACATTAAATAGAGTATTATTTCCATTCTTTCTTTCTTACTACCAGGTTTTGAATAATTTTGACCCACAGTGGGGTATATATTTCAGATGCCTTCTGTTTTTTTAAAAAATACTTCTGCCAGGAATGTCTCTAAAATGTGTTGTCGAAGACTTTCGTGGCTTCTGTGAGTTTTCCAGGGTGTATGGCCATGTTCTAGAAGCATTCTCTCCTAACTTTTTGTTCATATCTGTAGCAGGCATCCTCAGAGGTTGTGAGGTCTGTTGGAAACTAGGCAAGTGGGGTTTATATATCTGTGGAATGTCTAGTGTGGGAAATAATCAGGACCAGCTAACACCTCCCAACAAAGGATTCCTCAGGCAGGAAGCAGCCAGGCTTTGAAGCTGCAAGGCCATTCAATGCTAATCAAGGTGGCCAGTTGCAACATTCACAGTTGCCTCAAACAAACAAGAGTGCTTTCTCCCACCCTGGACATTCCACAGGTGTATAAATCTCATTGCCTAGTTTCCAACAAACCTCACAACCTCTGAGGTTGCCTGCCAAAGGTGTGGGCGAAACAGCAGGAGAGAAGCCTATTTAAAAGTTACTTGCCTTTATCAGGATCTTCTAATTAGTCTATGTGTTTCTAGTAGACCTTAGAAGAAGTTTGCCTGCCTTGTGTCATGTTTTGGAATAAATCAGGAATATAAATAAAAGGTATTAGTACTATTGCCGGAGAAGACAATAAAAAGAACCATAAAACAGTGTTTAGTGCAGGGGTCCTCGAACTAAGGCCCGGGGGCCGAATATGGCCCTCCAAGGTCATTTACCTGGCCCTCATTCAGGGTCAACCTAAGTCTGAAACCACTTAAAAGCACACAACAACAACAACAACAATCCTATCTCATGAGCCAAAAGCAGGTCCATACTTCCCATTGAAATACCACTAAGTTTATATTTGGTAAAATTGTTCTTCATTTTAATTATTGTATTGTTTTTAGGTGTTTTTTGCACTACAAAAAAGATATGTGCAGTGTGCATTGGAATTCATTCATATTTTTTTTTCAAATTATAACCTGGCCCTCCAACAGTTTGAGGGACTGTGTCCTGGCCCTCTGTTTAAAAAGTTTGAGGACCCCTGGTTTAATGGGTCAGGTAAATTCTCTATACCTATTTTAATGTTAGTTAAACTTAGGCATTAATAACATGTTTTGGGGTGTGCAAGAATGCATGAAAGGCAGGCTGGGCAAGAATGGCCAGCAGATGTTTTTACCTATAATCTATAACTCACATGAACCTTAGTATAATCAGGGATCTTGAAAACAGCTGGAGCCCTTTATGCCACTCTGGGTAAGGTTTTTGTGTGTGTGTGTCAAGTGGCTTCTGGTGTGAGAGAATTGGCCGTCTGCAAGGATGTTGCCCAGGGGACACCCGGATGTTTTACCATCCCATGGGAGACTTCTCATGTCCCTGCATGTGAAGCTAGAGCTGACACATGGGAGCTCACCCCACTCCCCAGATTTGAACCACCGACCTTTCGGTCAGCAGTCCTGCCGGCACAAGGGTTTAACCCATTGTGCCAACGGGGGTAAGATAACTAAGCGGGATTTGTAATTAGTCCTTTCCCCCACAATGACGTGAGAAGCAATCTAGAATGGCAAATGGTTCACAATAGATTAATATGCACATAAGAATTCAAAAGGATTTACACATTCTTCTGAACATTATGATGCTTTAAAATTAAAGTTTAAAATAAGAAGGGTTTTGTTTTTTATTATGGCAGTTAATCCCTGACTCCTTTGTTTGTGGTCTAACTTTTCTTTCTTTGCTTTGTGTTTTTGTTTTAAAGTTGGAAAAAACTATATATATCCACTGTGGGACAGTTGGTACTAGGATGTTCCTTGTGTATGTTTCTTACCTTGTGAGTGCAACTATTGAGGAGAAGGAGATTCTCTGCAAGTGTCACCGGGTAGGTTGCATTAACTGGATCATTTGGCATTTCAGTTAGGTATTGTTAAGCATGTCCAAAGTAGCATTTAGTAGTTAAAGAAACAGGCTGTTATGAGTGTAACCAGTGTGTAAATTCTATTGTGATCTTGTATGATTATCTCTGAAATTTGGATTTGTTTTGCCATATGACACTGGGAATAAATTTAGCAAACAATAGTACCTATTGTACAATTCCCCAAAGAAGGAGATTTTTATTTTTTCTATTTTTGCAATCTGCATAGAAAACAGGTGTAGGTTTATGACATCCTGTGATTATTCTACATGTTTCATTAGGTGCTATATTCACCTGCATTCAGTTGCTTTATAACATTTTATTTTAAAGGGTAATATGTACATAAAGGCCTAAAATTAATATTTCTGTGAGTTTTCCAGGCTGTATGGCCATATTCTCTCCTGACGTTTCACCCACATCTATAGCAGGCATCCTCAGATGTTGTCAGGTTGTGACAGTAACAGTAAATAGAGAACGACACTAAAAAATGGGGATTCCAAACAAGAAACATCAGGGCCAGCTAATCACAACGTATTCTCCCAAGCAGTAAGCAGCCGGACCTTGAAGCTGCAAGGCCATTCAATGCTAATCAAGGTGGCCAATTGCAACATTCACACCTGCCTCAAACAGATTTCTTTCTCCCACCTGGACATTCCACAAATATATAAACTTTATCAGTAGTGTGTTGTAATAAGTAGTGTGGTGTAATACAGGCACACACACCTTGCAGTTATCTCTGCCAATCACAACCTGGCTTTGGAGGGCCTCATAATCTTCCAAAGCAAGTTTTTGGGATTTTAGGGAAGATGGAATAGTTCTGTCTTTGGAAATTATTGATTGGATTGCGGCCAAAATGCTGTGCATTTCAAATAGTCAGGAGCTAGTTTAGATAGGATGAAACAAAATTTGAAGAAATGTACTTGGGATTAAAAGACAGCATTGGGCAAAGAAGACTAGTGCCAAAACAGATCGTTGAGGATTTTAATTTTATTTTTCTATTCATCATGTGACCTTGCTCCAAAAAAATCAAAAAAATCAGGCTTCCCTTTTCTCTCATTCACAGGATGAAACTGTTACTATAGAGACAGTGTTTCCTTTTGATGTCACAGCTAAGTTTGTCTCAACCAAGGTATGTGATGGAAACTTAAAAGAAAATAATCTGGACAGACAGTATGAATAGTAAAATAACCTGCCCTTGGTTTCTCTTCCCAACAGTTTGAACATTTAGACAAAGTCTTTGCAGACATACCCTTTTTACTGATGACGGATATCCTAAGTGCTTCACCTTGGGCCCTGACTATTGTAACCAGCCAGCTGCAGCTTTCTCCTTCTATGGCACCAGTGGACCAGTTAGAATCTTACGTGGAGAATGGTGAGAAACTAAACACACCATTAAAAAGAAACAGAAGTAATACATGGTTAATACTTTCTGCCTGTACAGATGTGTATTATTATTTAGTTTGATGGAATATAAGTTATTTTTAGTTAGTATCATGTAGAGTTGAATTTTAAAAAAATGATAGGACATTAATCCAGCTTCCTTGAATGATACGCTACCTGCATGCTCATCTTTAGTGGACAAATGTTTTGCCATATTTGCTATCACAGCAAAGGTACACATTATTTTCTGTCTTTTAACCAGTATGACTTAATCACAAGAAATTCTGCTTGATAGACCATGTGTATCTTTAGTGAGCTGTAATTCCTATTTTTTTGTCATGAAATGATTGCAATGATTCTTTGGTATGAGTTATGCCTTTTTTCCCTTGGAAAGAGTGAAAAGTGCAACAAAACTTAGCATTATGTATGATCTTCAGGTAATCTTCACATAATCCTTAGAGTATTTAGCTAAACTTACTATAACACTATGTAACATTATTTTTCTTCCTGGGTTATAAATGTAATTTCCTAATTGGTTCTATCATAAAAACATGGAAAGACGTTTATTAGACTGCAAAAACTTTGTTTTTGTGATCTGCACAAAAGGTTGAAAATGGCGCATTGACAGGTTTAAAATGGCAGCCACAAAAACAAAGTTTCTGGAGTATAACAACCATTTTCAAAGTAAGTACCACACAGTTAAACAGGAAATAATACTTTCAAACCAGGAACAGAATTTTTTCAAATGTTTTTACATAGTGTATTATATGCGTAATGGAGCCCCCGGTGGCGCAGTGGGTTAAACCCCTGTGCCGGCAGGACTGAAAACTGACAGGTTGCAGGTTCGAATCCGGGGAGAGGCGGATGAGCTCCCTCTATCATCTCCAGCTCCTCATGCGGGGACATGAGAGAAGCCTCCCACAAGGATGATAAAACATCAAGTCATCCGAGCGTCCCCTGGGCAACGTCCTTGCAGACGGCCAATTCTCTCACACCAGACGAGACTTGCAGTTTCTCAGGTCACTCCTGACACAACAACAACAACAACAACAACAACAACAACAACAATAATAATAATAATATACGTAATATGAGGGTTATCTGGAAAGTAAGGTTATAAGGCACGTAGCTCTCATGGGAAATTTCGCAGGAGTTGATATCTCTGCCATGTAGCGGGAAGCCAGAGTAAGCGAATGGACAGTGCCAGTCGTCAGTAGCTCATCAACTGGTGTTGTGGTGAAGGTTAAAGGTGAGCATCCTCATTCCGTTTCCCTCCAAGAGTGAAGTTCGCGCTGCATGAAGGTTATCCAGAAAGTAAGGTTACAAGATTTTTAAAAAATACAAAGTATGAATATATATTTTTATAAACTTACATGGATTATAGCATAGGTATTACACTATTTTTTCTACATAATCACCATTCAGTTCAATACATTTTGTCATCCGTGAAATGAGTTTTTTGATACCTGTGTCATAGAAGGCTCCCACTGCCTTTTTCAGCCACATCAACAGTCACAATGGATGTGCTCTCTTCGGCAATACATATACTAAAATTTGGAACGATACATAACATTCACAATGGATGGCTGTCCATGTCTGTCATCATCGTGAATTTCCGTCCTTTCACAATTGAAATTCCATGCCCATTTTGCCACATGCTGCCTTGACATTACATCCTCTCCATAAACTGAAACGATCTTGCGATGAATCCCAGTGGCGTTCATGCCCTTAGCATTTAGGTAGCATATTACAACACAAACTGTGCACTTGGAAGGAAATGGAATGAGGGTGCTCATATCAAACCTCCACCACAACGCCAGTCGATGAGCTATTGATGATTGGTGCTTCTTGTTCACTTCCACCGGCTTCCCACTACATGGCAGTAATACCAACTTCTCCCTCAAAATTTCTCACAAGAGCTATGTGCCTTGTAACCTTACTTTCCAGATAACCTTCGTAGAATGTGCATGTGCCAACTAGATTTTCAGACTTATTTAGTACCAAAGTATTTTTTAAACATTATACTTAATCTGTATTTTCTGATAGTTGTGTTACAGACAGGAGAGAGTGCTAGTGAATGTTTCTGCCTTCGGTGCCCACCAGTTACGACTGGTCAGAGTGGAGTGGCTACTGGATGTTATGTAATCACCTGGAAGAGGTAACTATCCTTGTCCACCTCTTTAGATATCCTAAAGATTGATGTCATATCTTTATTCGGTATTGAGAAGTACAGTCAAACCACCGTTCAAACCTTCCTGGATACCATTTAAGCAAAACAGAGGAAAGACTTATCAGGCTTATGTAATAAAAAAAGCTTGAAAACCAAATCTCATAATCTTTTGAACTAGAGTCTGTTGGAGAACATTCACATACAGCTCATGTCCCAGCTTCTACTTTGTTGTGTCTTTCAAAAATGCAATTCATCCAAAGTTTTGTGAGCATGTACCTTCTTGATGGACTTCTCCTTATTCCTAGCAGGTAATTAAGCTCCATAGCTTGTCCCTCCTGTACCTCCCACCAGATAAATCGCTCCAGTTTCCTATCCCGCCCTATGCCCCCCTGTTTTTATCTGTGCATCTGGCCTAGCCCATCCTGATTTATTCTTTGTCTGTAATTGTTATTTCACTTCATACCTGGTGTTATATCCCTCTGTGTTGACCTTTCCTTACTGTTTTTATGTTGTTGTTTTTATTGTGGTATTGTGGTATATTCTTTCAATTTTATTTTAATTTTTAATTCTAACTATTTTGCTGTAACTATTTCATTTGTTTATTGCATTCGTTGGGCTTGGCCTCATATGAGCCACCCCAAGTCTCTGAGGGGAGATGGTGGCGGAGTATAAATAAAGTTTAATAAATAATAATAATAATAATAATAATAATAATAATAATAGATAAAAGGTCAGACAAAGTAGATTGGCCTTTTACCAGCTACACAAAGCAAACACCCAACTTGATTGAGATGTTTGCATATTTCTTTTGCAAGGAATGGCTCCTTTTGTGATTTTTCTATCAGAACTTTCAGAGAATTGGGTCTTCAGTGGAATGCAACAGGAATAATTTCTGTAATATATGGCTAAAAGACAAAGAACCTCAAATGTTAGTTCAGTGTGTTTTGGCTTTGTATGGATGTGTTGGAAATAGTAACCTTCTACTAGCTCCTATACTAGTTATTTGTTATGTATATAATTGAGATTTCTTACTATATTGTATATTTGTATTAGTTTTTAAGTCAAGCGAGTTTTTAAGTCTTCTCAGGAAGACCATACTTTACAAAAGGTTACGATCTCTAATGAGGACAACTGTGAAAACTACAATCTATTGCTGTCATTTTTATAGTGAACTTCACGCTAAACATTTCATCTGTGATTTTCTTGAAAGGACCTCAGCTGTGAACAGCACACTTGTGGTGAACACTGTGATCACACTCCCCCATGTTATTGTTGAGAGTATCCCACTCCATGTGAATGCAGGTAATGTTAAATACATACATAAAATAATCACTGTGTAACAAAATTAGAAAAAAATCGGTTCCTGGTTTGGGAAAGTGTTATTCCCTGTTTAATTGTGTGGTATTTACTGTACTTTGAAAGTAGTTATACTCCAGAAACGTTGTTTCTGTGGCTGCCAGAAACTATGTTGAATTGGTTGAGACTCAGTGAGATATTCATTGAAAAACTATAGCAAAACATGTTGCAGGATGGCCTACAAAAACAAAATTTTGCAGTTTAGCAAACTTGTCCCATGTTTTTTTAAAAAAATGATAGAATCAATTAGGAAATTGCATGTATAACCTAGGAACACAAATTGTGTTCCATAGAGTAATCTGTGTCATATATTTATGGAACAGTCCAAAGACTTTTATAGATAAACATTTTGCTTTTCATGTTGCTCCTAGGGTGGTTCTCCATAGAACAGTTGGCTCTCCATGTCCCTGGGTTTGGCATTTGCACATTTGATTATTCATGGATTTGCCACACACATTCCTGAGGCTACTGCATACACATTAATGTGGCAACTTTTGACTTTGGGAAGGAGAATGGCAGTGGTCACCATAACTGCCACATAAATTTTGGAGAGACACAAGGCAACTGCTCTCTGCCTTACACTGTTTCCCTAACTTCCTGCTATGAGAAGTTTTGGGAGATGATTGCCCTGCCTCCATCATTATTCATGTTTTTTTCAACTTTTGGTGAATTTATTCATGTTTTTTTCAACTTTTGGTGAATTTTAGTGTCCTTAATCCTTACGAATTTGGAGTGTCGACTGTATGTGATAAAATACTGAACATTACATTTGCATTTTTTTCCAGCTTTTCCCATTTTGGTGTCTTTCATATGTATTTGACTTTGACTCCCACCATACCCAATGAACAACTTTTATTGAACTAAAGTGACTTCTTCAGTCATGTTTTCCTCCCCCCAAATAAACACCACACAAGGTATTAAACAGTTTGGGCCCAGAGTATTTAAAATACCATATCTTCATATACAAACAAACACGAGCACTGTAGTCGCCTCCTTTCGGTCCCATCCTCATTTCAAGCGTGGCTAGTGGGAGTGAGAGAAAGGGCCTTCTCCGTGACCTCCTCTGGAACTCCCTCCCTAAATAATTAAAAATGGCCTCTCTTTCCTCTCCTTTAAAAATCTATTTAAAACACATCTATGCAATTTAGCTTATGGAGAGGAGGAGGATTAAATATATCTATATGCACCCTCGCCTAGCTACTAATATCCTCCCTGTTAATCTACTGTTCACCATCCCACCTCCAACAATTTTAGCCTAAATTTAGAGATTTTAATAAGATTTTTAAGAACTTGATATGTTTGTAACTATGTGGATTGTGTTATATCTTGTTTATTTAAGTTGTTTTATAATTTATTGGGTTGTTTTTTTATTTGTTTATACATATTACTGTCAGCATTGAGTGTTTGCCACTGTGTATTTTGTTGTAAGCCGCCCTGAGTTCCTTCGGGGAGATAAGGCGGGCTATAAATAAAGTTTCATTCATTCATTTATTCATTATTCACTGGCCTTATTTACTTTTCCCATTTTAAATCCCACCCTTCAAAGGGCAAAGAACAGCTTTCTTTAATTAGACTGAGGAGCAGTGCCTGTCTCTAGTCACCTGGCAAACTTCATGGCCTGGCAAGGATTTCAGTTGGTATCCTTGGTAAAAGTCCATGGCACAAACCACTACACCACTCTTGATCCTTTGACTGATCCCTGACCAGAAATGGCAATCCAAACAAAAACATTTTGCTCTGTTCAGCATATGCTTCTTGCAAACCCACAAAGTTGCCAACTTTTTTGTCTTGCTTGGACTTGTTTAACTTGTGAAGCTCTTCTTTTATGTTCACATGTATGCTCTGAGAAGTTTTTGAGTTTTAAGCTTTAAAAAAGCCTTTAATAAATGGCTTAATGTACTCTGGTTTTAACATGTTTGTGGATAGGCTTCCCAACCATTTGACTTCCATCAGCTTGTTGCTAATTTTAAGCCCTCAATGTCTTCTCACTTTCTACAAACGAATTGTGCTGAAAGTGGCTACTTTGGTCCCATTTTTAAAATCCATTATGTGGCATAGCATTTTCCCTCTTTTACTTAATACTAATGACTGACACATGAGTGACAGGTGGAATTTGCCTCACAGCATTTTAGAAACATTCATTATTATTTTTCTGAGTCCTGCTTTCAGCCAGTGTTTGCATGGCTACCTCTCTACTTGATCTCTTTTCATAACAACTTCCATCTTTGTTGTCTCTGAGGAAAATAATCCTCAACTGTGCTAATACATTCCTGAAAACTTGTGATAGAAGTAAAAAAGAAATGCAAATTGCAGAAATATATGTATTAACTATTGTCACATTTTCTTTTCAAAGATCTACCCTCATTTGGTCGAGTTCGAGAATCATTGCCGGTAAAATATCACCTACAGAATAAGACTAATTTGGTTCAAGATGTGGAGGTGTCAGTGGAACCTAGTGATGCCTTTATGTTTTCTGGTCTTAAGCAGGTATGGGTTGCGATATGTTTAGTCTTAGGTGTCTGTTTTGAATCCAGTTCATCCTTTGTATCTACATTACGAGTTCAGTAAAGAGAAATGATGTATCACTACTCTGCATTATAACAACCACTGTATGCTAGTAAACAGAAATTATGCATCTAGTTGTGCACGATTCTGCTAGGTCAGAGTAAGTGCAACCACTGATACAACTGGAGTTTTGACAGAGAATGACACAATGACATCCTGCCCCAAAAAGTAACTTTTCAAGACTTTTATTAAAGGTAATTCTGTATCCATATTTCCGATATAATGAAGGCTTTAGGAAAGAGTAGGGAATGGCTAATTATAAATGAATAGTTAGAGCTTTCCTCCCTTGTCTTGACACATTTCAAATCAACGTGGAGTTAAAATGTAATTTTAAAACCCTTTATCACACTTATTACTATTATTATGTTTATTTATACTTCACTTTTTCTCTCCACAAGGAGGGAATATATTTCCTGTGTGAAAAGAAAAGCTTGCACGTCTTAGGCTGTTTTTCCAAACGCATACAAGAACTGAATTCCTGATAGGTGTCCCATAGTGTATGAATGTTGGGAATAATAATAATAATAATAATAATAATAATAATAATAATAATATACTTAATTTATATTCCACTCTAACTCCCCGAGGGAACTCAGGGCGGTTTACAGAACACATATACGGCAAACATTAAATGCTGTTATACAATTAACAAGGACAGACAATACATAAACAGAGATAAAGGCTTTTCCCATCTTTTTTTCCATTCCCAGCATTTGGAGACTGTGCTCGACTCCGGCCACAGGAGTGGGGGGGTGGGGGGGGGGGTGCGCTGTTGCTCCATCTTCTATGCCAAGGAGCTTTGTCATACTTAGACATCCTTCTGGTCAAATTGCCTTATGGGCGCTTTTTTATTACCTCCCCTCTTTAAAGTGGTACCTATTTATCTATGGTACTCACATTTCTGTTTTGATCTGCTAGGTGGGCAGGGAGCTGGAACTGACGGCGGGTGCTCACCCTGACCCGGGCTTGAACCGACAACCCTTCAATTGGCAGGATTTTCTGGGCCTTAGTGGTTTAACCTGCCATGCTAAGCCCGCCCCCTAATATCCATATAAAAATATGCATGACAAATCAGACCAAAGGCTATTCTCATTGCGGGCTATCAGATTGTCTATGCCATGAGAAGACTATAGGCATGGAAGAACACAGTAGCACTATCTCACATGTTTCAATTTATGTTTGGAAATAGTCTGATAATGGAAGAGTATCAGAATTCATAGTCTTGTTTTTTAATCACCTGTCCACACAAGTGAATTTCAAAGCTTAGTGATTTACCTTGTTGTCTCCCACTGTTCATATCCATTGGATAACCCCAGATTCTAGTACTGCAAGAGTAAAAGAAGGTTCTCTCTGTTCACAACTTCCACACTGCAGAGGATTTTGCATACCCTTTCCATTTCCCTCCCTCTGTGGCCCAAATAACCATAGAGGGTTGTTACCTTGGGAGTATGAGGCCATGATTATTTTAAATGCCTTCATCTGGAAAGCTAGCTTGTTTACTGTGAGAAGGATAGCCTTTTCTGGCTTCTTCCCCTGTTGTTGGATTCTACTTAGAGATTTTGAACTATATTTCTAGATAAGGTTGCGAATCCTTCCTGGCACTGAACAAGAAATGTTATACAACTTCTACCCTCTCATGGCTGGATATCAACCGTTGCCATCGCTGAACATCAATCTGCTAAGGTTTCCACTTTTCACTAATCAGATGCTTCGAAGGTTTATACCAACACACATCTTTGTAAAGGTAAGTTATAATAATGACTGCAACCCTTTTATAGAGCAGTTTCAGCATGTGTTTCATTTTTAAAGATAGTACATTTGAATAATCAGCTGACTAAAGTATATAACAATTACCTTTGAATTGCAAAGCTTGAGAATGTAGCTGTTATTTGGGCAGTTGTCATATAGGCTGGTCCTTACAATATTCTATATTAAATAGTCTATATTTATTTAATTAGACTTCTAAAAAGGTATTAGGTGCAGATATTGTCCTATGGGAGTATCAGAATATTCTTTCAGTCCTGAAAAAAATGTCTTACTGCTCAAGATCCTGATGTTAGGTTTTCCCCTGACATTAAATCCAGTCGTGTCAAACTCTAGGGCAGTGGTTCTCAACCTGTGGGTCCCCAGATGTTTTGGCCTTCAACTCCCAGAAATCCTAGCAGCTGGTAAACTGGCTGGGATTTCTGTGAGTTGTAGGCCAAAACACCTGGGGACCCACAGGTTGAGAATCACTGCTCTAAGGGTTCTCATCTCCATGTCTAAGCCGAAGAGCCAGCATTGTCCGTAGACACCTCCAAGGTCATGTGGCCAACATGACTTCATCGACCGTTGCTACCTTCCTGCCAGAGTGGGACCTATTGATCTACTCACTTTTGCATGTTTTCAAACTGCTAGGTTGGCAGAAGCTGGGCCTAACAGCGGGAGCTCACCCCGTTCCCCAGTTTCGAACCTGCGACCTTTTGGTCAGCAAGTTCAGTAGCTCAGCGCTTTAACCCAATGCACCACCAGGGGCTCCTGATGTGAAAATAGACGAAAATTAGGTTAAAATCTTGCATATCTTTATTTTTAGCACTTTGAAAAAGGATACATTGAAATGCATTGATGAGAGCACATCTTTTTCTGTATTATGAATAATCAAGCTGGCAAGTTGTGATTATTCATAATGTAGAAGAAGCGTGGAGTTGCAAGAACATGAAGTCGAAAACTAATGCATTCATTGATATTCAATACATATTATATGTGATTGTGGAGTTAGTCATTATGAAGTTGGCAAGTGCCCCCCTCCCACCCCATTCATGGGAGGAATTACACAGGTGGCTCAACTAGGAAAGGACATGTCCAGACAAATTTAGTGAAATCCTTGAAAAATGTTGGAATCTTTTTTCTGTGAATTATATAGTAAAAACCAGCCTAATCCCCCTTCACCCTGAAGAGACTTTGCATTCTGCTTCATTGCGTTGGAGCCAGAAAGGATGGGTGTGTCCCGCATATTCTGACAATCAATACGCCTTTTAGATCAGTCATCTGCATTTGCTGCCAAGTGGAGACAGAATCCTGCTGCCCAAGGCAAAGAAGCTGAAAGCATGCCCTGAGTTGCAATCTGTTCTTGGCTGAATACTAAACCATTTTCCTTGGTGTTTTGACATGACATCCGCTTGTAGCAATCTTCTTTTATTTTTTATTTTTTTGAAATTTAGATGAGATTCTTAAAATTGGATGGGGCAATAGGTGCACGCTGTGAAATTTCTATGTATAAGCTATACTTTTCCTCTATAGGACTAAAGATAGGGGATTATTGTTAGTCTTACCAAATAACAGGCAGTAGAATTGTGGCCTTTACTACTTGAACTTTTTAATAAACAAAATATGAAAAAACAAAGGGTGAAAGATGCATCCAGTATAGCTGGTACCTAATCTGTTTTTTTTTTCCTTCTGTCACTCACTATGATGTACCAGACACTGAACCAAACTTAATTGAAACTGGCTTGCTGTGAATTTTCCGGGCCGTATGGCTATGTTGCAGAAGCATTCTCTCCTGACGTTTTGCCCACATCTATGGCAGACATCCTCAATTTATTCAAACTCTTCTTCTGTTTATTGATTAAGTTAGAAGAAAAAGGCCAAAGAATCCTCACATGAATATTGATGCTTAACGTGTTTTTACATATAAATGAAGGTTATAAATATGTTTTTGCTATAATGACCTAAATCTGAACTAAGCTGTTAGAATCACAGACACCTTAAAGGGCCAAATTCAAAAGTGACTTCAATACAGAGTTTATTAAAACAAATGAAAAAGGATGCAGAGGCACTTAAATGCAGTGCCACTGGTCAAAACTCAAGAAACAACCAGTCCTGGTTCAAAAAGGTTTACAGGAATATAATCCGGATTAGTTGGATAAAAGAAACGAATCAAACAAAGCATTCTGAGGTCAAACAAAAAGGCACAGTACACAACTGGTTAACAAAAGGAGGAGCCACAGGAAGCGAAGCGACAGCTGAAGTCCAGACTCGAAGCGGGAGAAATCCAAAACAGCGCAGGTCCAGAGTCCGTAGAAGCAGCATCTTAGCCAAGCCAATCCAGGTCCAGGAAGGGAGAAGTCCATAGTCATAAGAAACCAATCCGGGTCAATAACAAGCAAACGATCAAGACATTCAAACTGCAGATCCTAAACCAACATGAAACTGGCAGCAGCAAGTCACACAGCACCCAAAGCACGAATGCACTCCAACACCTTGCCTTCTGCAAGGACCCCTCACCCCTGAACCCACTTTTATTTACAACTCATCATCAGAAGATGAACTGACCACTGCCCCATCATTATCCCCCGCAGCTGCTTCCAGCTCTTCACGTGAGCCACCTTGTCTTCCCCTCCTCCATCTCCTGTCAAGACTTAGATCCCCTGATTGTCAGTCTTCACCCCCAGAGAACCCCATAAAGGTATCACTAGTTGTTGGCTCCTCACAAGTCACTTCTCTTATCTTAGTCCAATCCATGGTCTCTCCTTCTACTCCTTCACTCATTGACCCATCATCCCCAGAGAATCCTTCAAACGACTCCTCATCTGTAGGCGCTGTAAATATGTCCCGATCCTCTTTCTCTGCTGCTCATCATCAGATTCCTGCTCCCGAGTAACCCTTTTCCCCCTTCTGGCACCCACACTACTGTTTGTAACGTTACTCACAGGCTCTACTACAACATAAGCCTAAGATTAATAATTTTTGTTTTAATAGTTCTTCAGCATGTTGGAAATAACATACTCCAGAAACTTTGTTTTTGTGACCGACAGCAGTACTTTTACTTCCTTCAGTCTAGGCACTTCGTTGGTAATTTTCCTTAATGAATATATCCCATTTTAACCTTTCAGTGTGTAGACCGCAACAAAGTTTTTGCAGTTTAATAAACTTTTTCTATGTTTTTTTGGTAGAACCAATTAGAAAATGACATTTACAACCCAGGAACAAACATCGTGTTACATAATGTTTTGGTACACTCTGTATACTTAAAGGCTTAAATGGATTCTGAAATATTTGAACCTATTCTTGACATATAGATTGAGCACTGTAGGATTGTACAATTGCAGAGTGAACATAAATGCTGAACGTTGTCTTTTCTTCCTTCTAAAGCCACAGGGACGTCAGCCAGATGATGCTTCTATTGCTGCTGCATAACTGAAGAGCCATGCACAAATGAAACAATTTTGCACAGAATATATAGGACTCAAATTCTTTTTCATACCCTAGATTCTCTCATGTCACAAGTGAAAAACTACATTAGATTGGTAACAATGACAAATATCAGTGACATCTCCTTTTGGACTTGATTCTGACAAATAAATACACAGGAAAAAAAGTTGGTGCTTTTATTTAACATATTATTTTTGTTTCTGATTTTCCTGAAAATTAAGTGGAAGAGTTATATATGATGTATATGAAATTTTGGGTCAATATGGGCGAACTTTGCAAAAAAAGAAAACAAAATAATTCTGGTTTCAGTGTTGCGTAGAGATACAGTGCATGTGGCTTTTGTGGCACTAGATGCTCCCTCCTGCCATGTTTTATAGCATTTAAATGTTTCATATAGAATATTATTTTGGGGCCATTTTATAATCTGAGAAAAAAGGATTCATTTATATCTTAATGTCTCAGTAGGCTCTGCCTATCTAGGAATGAAGTTTCCATGTTTTGAATGAATATATGTGTCATTTTATGGCTAGTGCTAGAAATATGTTGGCTTCTCATAGAGTTTTGCTGGCTACTCTAAAGTTGCTTTTGAGGCCTTTTTGGTTTCCTGGAAAAAGAGTACTTTTCTGATGTGTTTATAATCAAAGAAGGGTTACACAACATTGAGAAGCTGTTGGTTCCTGAAGGAAACTTTAAGCTATGGTGCAACTCAGAGGCCAAAAAACAGGCATTTCCAAGTACCAGTTATTCAGTATTATAGATACTCTCATTCTAGGAGCGTAAGAGCCTCAAATGATAACTGTACTAGGAAATGGTGTGCACAGGTTCTGTTGTCGGAGAAACACCTATTTCTAAGAAATATTGGCCACCCATGAAGAAGTATGTCATAAAACTATAAATATTGTGGACTTTTACAAATAAAGCAAAACTTTCAGTTAGGGGGCATATGTGTGTGCAATCTGATTTCTCTTTTAGCGGCTCAGGACAGCCCTGCTACCATTTGTTGGCTCAAAAATGCTTTGTAAGCTGTCATCTTAAACTGAAAACCGTTTTACAGAAAAAAGCACTAAGCTGCAGCAGTATCATTCAGATATAATACTTCTTTACCCAGTCAACCCGTCTTCATTGGGGCTACTCCGCATGTGGAACGCCAGTTAAATAGTTAAGGGAAATTTGTCCTCTCAATGTTCATGTAAGGCAGTATTTAGAAAATTAACAGTAAATCATGTAAATAAAAGGTCTTTTGTGAGATTTTTTTCATTGTTTAATAAATTAATTTAAACTTTAGTTTTTATTGTGGTGTTTTTTATTTACTGGCTAAGTGTGACCCTTGAACAATCCAGTCTTTTCCTTTAACTTCTCCCTAGCCTCCATTTAGTCATTTCTAGCTCATATTGCTTGAGAGTGGAACAAAATCTGCAGTCCTCCATAGCCTTGACTCTTTCTCCTCTCCAATATATTTCCACCTGTCAGTTGTGATTTGCCAGATCTCTACTACTTCAAGGACAGATTTCCCACTCTTTGGACCTTCTTTTAAATGTTCCTGGCTTTCCTAAGTGCCTCCTCTAAATCCATTTTTTTCACTAATTCTTTAGAATAATGGTTCTTAACCTGTGGGTCCCCAGGTATTTTGGCCTACAACTCCTGAAATCCCAGCCAGTTTACCAGTTGTTAGGATTTCTGGGAGTTGAAGGCAAAAACATCTGGGGACCCATAGATTGAGAACCACTGCTTTAGAACAACTGTTTAGTACTCTCTTATAAGGAGTTCATATACACAGTACCCTTATACTAAGGTGAAGGCCCCTGGTTTTGAATGAGTTCAGTGAGTTAGTGAATCAAACAGTATAAACTGAGATCCAATTGTAATAGCTGGTATACATATATGTCTTCCCTGTGACCAAAAGACATTGACTGGAAGAGAGGTAATGGTCCCATTAAAGTGACACAGTCAAGCCCTGAAAACAGTTCCGCACAAAAAGTATGTATAAAGGTAAAAGTTTCCCCTTGACATTAAATCTAGTTGAGTCCAACTCTGGGGGGTGGTGCACATCTCATTTTCTAAGCTGAAGTGTCAGTGTTGTCCATAGGTCATGTGGCCGCTATGCTTGCATAGGGTGCCGTTACCTTCCCACTGAAGCAATACCTATTAATCTCACATTTGCATGTTTTCGAACTGCTAGGTTAGCAGAAGCTGGGACTAATGATGGGAGCTCAACCCGTCCACAGTTTCGAATCACCGACCTTCCGAACAGCAAGTTCTCCAGGTTAGCAGTTTAACCCATGGCGCTACCGCGGCCATATAATATAATAGAAAATATACATTGTACTAATAAGACATAAGCAAAACAAAATTAAAAGGCAAAGTGTGTTTCGAAAGTATATCTTTCAAATCTTAAACATTCTTTGATGGGTTTTCCATATAAACTTTTAAAAATGATTTTAAAGAAAAATAGTGTTAAATGCACAAATTTAAAGGGATGGACTGTAAAAAACATGCATTTGAACAAAATGCGTTCATGCTGGGGGGCTTTTGTTATGTTTATGTAATAACCTTTTAGCCAAAAACCACTGCCATTGAAGAGTAGCCTGCAGGTCTAGACAAACCCTCCGACATTCTGTCATTCCAGTGACAAGGTCAATAAAGTAAAGTGCTGTCTCGTCAACTTGAAAGTATTAACCAACTAATTTTTTTAGTGCCATGGGACAATGTAATTTTTCGTTCACCTTTCCAGCCCCTGCTATTTTAAGTGAATGTAAACTATTTGCTACAGATTGCTCATAATAAGTTTCTGAAGGCTGACATTCTTCGTGCTTGCCATCATGTAGACTTGTCAATCTCTGTTAAATATCAGGAGGTCAAAGTGGATTCCATATTTTTTACTTTTTTTTTACTTTGCTTCTGTTTGATTTTCAGACCCTCCCTCATGTTCTCTTTGTGCAATGTAATTCTTCAGTAGTCTTATTTTTCAGTGGAATGCCATTCATGGACAAAGTACTTTAGAGATCAATAAAACAAAAGATGTTCCTCCATTCAATAGTTTACAAATATAAAATGTGACAAGGGAAGGGAAAAAGACACAGGTACACAAGGCAAGAATGTTACACTTCAACTAATGTGATTGTGTCTAAGTGTGCATCTACATTGTAAAATTAATGCATTTGACTCCACTTTAAAAGACATGGCTGGATGCTATGGAATCCTGGGAGTTTTGGATTTATAAGATCTTTAGTCTTAACTGCCAAAGTGGGCTGATTCCTCTCCAAACTACCAGTCCCAGGATTCTATACAGCAGTTCCTCTTCCATCTTAATTTTTCACAAGTTTATACATCTTACCAATCAAATAATCATCATCTGTACATAGGGGTATGCATAATTTAGTTTTTCATATTTTGGATCAAATTCGTTAAATTCATGCATACAAATCGATATTAGAAGCATGCAGGTGGGTAGGGGAGGTTAGAAATTGAAACACCAATCATTTCTATGAAGATTCTGTAACATTCGGATGCCTCCCATGGTCAGTTTAATTTTCAGTATAAGCATTAAGCAACTTTGGTAAAGTCAAGAAAACAGTGCTTTAAAAAACACTAGGCACGAGGGCAGGACTTAATTTAATGGGCGGGATACTGAGAACATAGCCATCTTAAATACAGTTTGGGAAGGTGAGGCCCTCTGTTGCAGAGAATGCAAAAGGCCCTGCCCTAAACTACATTTCCCAGAACGCAGTGCTCAGCATCAGAAAGCCCTAATAGCACCAGTCATTTAGAGTCAATTTAATAATAATAAATAAAATTATTGAACCTGCAAAGAGGACTTAAGTACGTAAGTAATAGTATAAATCTGTGGTTAGTTGAAATTATGTGGTTGTGTGTCACAGAGACAGACATTCAAGGGGAATGCTGTTGTGGCAATTGTTTTTGTCTAAACTTTTAGAAATCCCCTAAAATCTGTAGATGTGTGAATCTTTCTGAAACTCCTAGGGATTGATGCCCTGGTTATCTTGTGCATTGTATATAAAATTCAAGTAAATGGCTCTTGTAGGTTTTTTAAAAAAATGTTGTTTATAAAAACTTTGAAAATGCCCCAAAAATCCATGGATAAGGGAAACGTTCAGAAATTTGGAGGGCTAACAGTGGTAAATATGTTCTACCATTGTAGCAAGTGTCACTCCTATAGCTTTAAAAATGAGGGAGAAAGAAGCCCTTGAAATTTCCCCAATTATAGTAATTATGTGAAATTACTATAACGAAATAGTAATGAAATGTCATTATTCCCATTATAGTAATGAATTTTTCACAAAATATACTTTAGAAACGATTTAGAAACAAAGCACCAGCACCCCCCAGTTTTGTACTGACTTTTGAACCATTTTTAATATGCCCCTCAGCAGATGTTTTCAATGCTCCTTTCTTCAATTTGCGAAAAGTTTTCTTGCACAACAGTATCTAATGTTGTGAGTATATAAGACTTATATTCTAGAAGAGAACTGGGAAGGCCTGGCCCTTGAGCACACTAGCTGGAGGTCAGCTGTGACCAGCAGTGCTGCAGAATTCAAAGAGGCACAAATGGAGGGCAAAAGGGAGAAATGTACCAAGAGGAAGTCGCGTCAAGCCAACCCTGACTGGGACCACCTTCAATCAGTTTAGAGAGATGGGCCAAAACTAACAAAATGAAGTTCAACAGTGACAAATGCAAGATATTCCACTTAGGCAGAAAAAATGAAATGCAAAGATACGTGTGAAAAAGATCTTGGAGTCCTCATGGACAAGTTGAACATGAGCCAATGATGTGATGCGGCGGCAAAAAAAGTCAACGGGATTTAGGCCTGCAAATAGTTTCTAGATCCGGGGAAGTCATGCTACCCCTCTATTCTGCCTTGGTTAGACTACATCTAGAATACTGTGTCCAGTTCTAGGCACCACAATTGAAGGGAGATGTTGACAAGTTGAAATGGGTCCAGAGAAGGACGACTAAAATGATCAGGGGTCTGGAGAACAAGCCCTATGAGGAGCAGCTTAAAGAGCTGGGCGTGTTTAGCCTGAAGAGGAGAAGGCTGAGAGGAGACATGATGTCCATGTATAAATATGTGAGAGGAAGTCATAGGAAGTCATAGGTAGTTTCCAGGGCAGCATTTTTCTGCTGCCCTGGAGACTACAACACAGAACAATGGCTTCAAACTACAGGAAAGGAGATTCCACCTGAACATTAGGAAGAACTTCTTTACTGTGAGAGCTGTTCAGCAGTGGAACTCTCTGCCCCGGAGTGTGGTGGAGGCTCCTTCTTTGGATGTTTTTAAACAGAGGCTGGATGGCCATCTGTCGGGGGTGCTTTGAATGCGATTTTCCTGCTTCTTGGCAGGGGGTTGGACTGGATGGCACACGAGGTCTCTTCCAACTCTATGATTCTTTGATTTTATGATTCTATCTATCTTATATATTTGTATTAGCACCTAGGTTGGTATCATTTGAATTTTAAGATGGAAGAAAATGCACCGGAAAGAGAGCTTTTTGTAACTTTTTGTTTCAGAGCAATATTTGGGGAAGGAGGGGGAAATCAAGACAGTTTGTCTGACATTATAATCCTGATGTTTCTTCATAACTGGGAGCAGATTAATGTGTAAGAAACTCATATTGGAATAACTTCAGTCAATGTCAAGGCACCACGCCAGCTAATTATCCTTGTAACCACACAAACGAGAAATTTAATCCTTATCAGTCTGAACAGTAATAGGTTCTGTATTCCTTATCCAAAATGCCCGGAATCAGAAGTGTTCCATATTTTGGATTTGGATTTTGGAATACTTGCATACATGTAATGAAATATTTTGGCGATGGGACCCAAGTCTAAACATGAGCTTAATTTATATTTCATATGCACAATATCCTGAAGATATTGTTGGGCGAGAGGGCTAATTAACAAAAGACCCTCCCCATAAATATACAGCAGAGTAACTTAGCAGCAGGGTGACCCAGCACCAGTAGCCCAAAGTGATAAAAAGAACAAAAACACACAGAGCAATGTTATGTCTTCCATAGGAGGCTTTCCTTTGTAGCAAAATAATATGGTTGCACTATTTACAACAACGTTTCCATAATAAATAAACAAATACACAGTAGCTTTACACATAGCAGTCTTCACCCTGGAGCTTTCTCACACGAAGCTTCTCTCACACAGAGGTTTACCTCACACTTCTCAGGACAACACTAGCTTTGGCCCACTGACTCCAACAGGCTTCGACTTACTAACCTTTTCAGTGCTTGACTCATACTTTTGTAATAAAATA